TTTGTAGATAAATGTAAATAACTTGTTTCTTTTAAATTTCGGGCTTCAACTTTGGAATTTCACCGTGTGCTGAAATAGTGGATTTCTCAAAGGTCTTTTTACAAGATAAACATTATTAAGTAACTTATTTATAAAAGTATTACAATAATTCTAAATTTGAATTTTATTGTTAATTTAACTTACAAAGATTTTTCTATGCATCCAGTGTAACTTACTGCTACTAAACTTAATTTAATATTTACTCTATAACCAAATGAAATATATTTAAAATATATTGAATATTTTATATTATATCTTGACAAAATTACAATGTTGTAATGTACTAATATTTCTGTAATTACAACTTAAATATTATTTTATTGTATTGTCTAAGAATAAAATTGAAAAAATTATATCTGGTCTTATTTTTTTCAAAATGTAAACAAATTTTTTTGGATTGTAAAAACAGTGTATGTTCACTGTAAAAACAACAGCAATTATGAAGAAGAATATAAAACTTGCCATGATCTAACCCTCACCCCCACTCAACTTTTTTCTTGTAAATATATTTTTAAACAAAAATGGAATAAAAAGCATGCTGTCTTGAAACTAAATTTTTAAATCAAACTTAATACACTGTGGACATATTTTCACATCAATAGATAAGAACTAATCATTATTTACATGGATTTCCTACATAAATCAATGAATTGATGGACATTTATTTTAGTTTTATTATGGACATATTATACACATTTTATCTTACATTTGTCCAATTATTTACTCAGGGTAAGTCTCTAGGAGGAAAACTGAAGAATCAAAGGACTTGCAATCTTAGGCCTTTCAGAGAGAGAGAGAGAGAGAGAGATACATATATATATATATATATATATATATATATGTACATATATATATAAATGTTCTCCAGGAACATTGCTAGAATTTCCAGTTGCATCAACACAGTGTAATGAAAACACCCATCTCCCTATGATTTTATCAATACTGGATATTCTTTTGTAATTTTGCCTGTCTCATTTTAATTTACATTTTGCTCATTACCAGTGAGGCTGAATATTTATCACTTTAAATTAGTATCTGGGTTTTTTAATTTAGTATATTTAATTAGTGCGTGGTTTTTTGTGGGTTTTTTTTTACTGTGAAAGGCCTAATAATATCTTTATCATTTCCTATTGAGATATTTAAGGAGTTTTTACAAGTCAATAGGAAAACATACAGATTACAGAAGTTATGGGTCATATATTTTGATAAATGTTCCCCATTTATAATGCAAATACTCCTTATTCAAGGAAAAATATTCATAAAATTTCAAAGGTAGAGAATTGGTAAAGATGAATGCCTTTAATACACAAAATCTTAACTCTCATAGGTAAGAAATTTTGGGGCCGTGTTAAATGACAATAAAGATATAATCAAAGGAAAAAACAGAATGAATGAATAGTGATGCTGGGTAATAATTCTAAGAAAGCCAAGAAAATTGTTGCTCAAATAAATATTTAGAAACACTCTCATAATTGGGACAAAAAAATCTAATTTGAAAACATTTTGAGTCAAAAAATATACTCATCTATTTTAATGAACTTACTTTTACTGCTGACAAGTAGAACAATGAGTGCTGTATTTGAGTTCATTCTCTCTACTTATAAGCCTGTTTAAAAAGAAAAATCTTGATCAGTCTCTAAGGGATTCTTTGCAACTTACTGACAGGGCACTTGCAGAACACTAAGAGTGCCTAATTCACCTCACCCTAATCCATGCTCTGCTTACTGGAAACTAAGAGACAACCAAACACAGGAGGAAACAACTGATTTTGAATAACCGGGCTCAACTTAAACATTCAGATAAATATGACCCTCTCTAGGTTTTTGGAGGCCCTATGGTGTTTCTAAAAATGCTAACACTGCTCAAAACCTGTTTAGAACTATTGCTTTGGAATTATCTTTAATTCCAATTTATCAGTCAAACAGGGAAATAGATCTCATTACTTTAAACCCAAGACCTACAACATGCTCAATATGGCTGCTCCATAAAGATAGAGAGATGAGTGAGATAAAGACCTTGGTCTCAAACATGGAACTTATCATCTGGTAAGGGAAAATAAGGCAAATACATAGATAGTTATAATACTGAACAGAATATGACAAGTACTGTAAGAGTCAACAAACAGTGGTTCAAAAGTTGGAGCCCTCAGGAAATCATAAGAGAGAGGACATTTTAGGTGGTCCTTTAAGGGCAGTTAGGATTTCAAGAAACAGAAGGTGATGAGAGGCAGGATGGCATTCTAGGTGGCAGAAATAGCATAGATAAAAGTAAGTACTTAGGAAAGCATGAAGCAATCTCACAGAACAATTAATGGTCAAGAATACATGGAATATATACATATATATCATATACACACACAAGGAGTGGTAAATAAAGTGGCAGAGCAGGAGGTGAGGGCCATATTAGGGTTTAGAGCACCAAAGTGAACTTGCACATCATTGGTTGGCATTAGAGACCCACTGAAGATTTTGAGCCAAAGAGTAGAATGATCATACAAATGGTAACATGGAAGATCCAATATTTCATATACTACCCTCCCAGTTTCACGTGTTTTTAAAAATTACTGTACTGCTGTACGGACATTTGAATTTGTGGAGAACTATAAGTCATCAATTTATTTTTGTATTTGGGGCTTCAAACTTGGGATGTCTTTGTCACAAATTGTAAAAATAGGTTCTTTGTGGATCCAATATCCAGGAATAATTAGAGAAAGAAAAATACTGGAAATGGGGAGGCCAGTTAAAAGGGTAACAGTCCAGATGATTGGTCATGGTCTCGTAGCGGGAAGAGAAATGACAGAGAAAGTGGACAGTTAGCCCTGAGGTGGGAGAATATAAAGGATGGGGGACAGTGAAAGGTGATTTCAGAATCTTGAACCTTGGTGACTGTAACAAATATCTTGCCATCAACTGAACAAGGAAATTCAGAAGTTATCTGCATTAGGAAGAAGGAGAAAATTTGAGTTGGAAACCCTGTTGGGATCAAAGCTCCAATGGGACACTTACGAAGAAATGGCTAGAACTACTGTAACAGGATGAGACAAAATGGTCTGTTAATTTTATTTAGATTTAAATACCACCTTTTCCCACAAAAGATTTGAGGCAACTGTGGGTGAAAAGACAGTCAATGATGGATTGAATCATAAACAGGAATGCCCACATTAATGACGGAAGAGACAGAAGACCCAGCATGAAGCTTTATTACAAAAAACAAGGGAGCAGGGCTTCCCTGGTGGCGCAGTGCTTAAGAATCTGCCTGCCAATGCAGGGGATATGGGTTCGAGCCCTGGTCCGGGAATATCCCACATACCGTGGAGCAACTAAGCCCGTGTGCCACAACTACTTAGCCTGCGCTCTAGAGCCCGCGAGCCACAACTACTGAAGTCCGAGCACCACAGCTACTGAAGCCCACACGCTACAACTACTGAAGCCCATGCACCTAGAGCCCGTGATCCACAACAAGAGAAGCCACTGCAATGAGAAGCCCGTGCACCGCAACGAAGAGTAGCCCCTGCTCACCACAACTAGGGAAAGCCCGCGCACAGCAATGAAGACCAAACGCAGCCAAAAATAATACGTAAGTTAAATAATTAAATTTACTTTAAAAAAAAAAAGGGAGCAGAGTTTCCAGGTAAGGGAGAGAAAGAGCCTTTTCTTTTTCTTTTAGAATTTACTACCAGTTAGGTGTAACTGGTAGGTGCTTTCATGTATTGATACTACAGTCTTGTCTAATTTAATTTAACAGAATCAACTGATGCAGGAAGATTATGGTTTATCAAGATTAAGGGAGAAGACTTTGGATTTGGTAATTGGATCACAATCCTCATTTGAAAGTGAATTCGATTTCCCTGGAGGGTAAGACACAGGAGTAAAAACCAAACTGCAAGTAATTAAGATATAGAAAGATATTAATCCTAGTGGAGCAGGAAGACCCTCACTTCTAAAGATTTTGGTCATAGTGGGCTTATTCAGCTTGGTCTCTAAATTCCCCCCGAAAGTTTGGCTTGTAATGGCTGATCACTCCTAAAATCAACCTTTTTTTTTTTTGCGATACGCGGGCCTCTCACTGTTGTGGCCTCTCCCGTTGCGGAGCACAGGCTCTGGAGGCGCAGGCTCAGCGGCCATGGCTCACGGGCCCAGCCGCTCCGCAGCATGTGGGATCCTCCCGGACTGGGGCACGAACCCGTGTCCCCCGCATCGGCAGACGGACTCCCAACCACTGCGCCACCAGGGAAGCCCTTCAATCTATTCTTAAAGGATGATTTGTCACTATTAAGAAGGGGCCCCAAAACGAAATTCTCAGAGGACTTCCTAAATGGTTTTAAAGAATGGTAACATCTATGGAGTATCTTTAGACTCTAGAGAAGTACCTACTCATGTGTATGTCTTTGGCTGTTTGTTAACGTCGAGGCACACAAAGTATTCCGTGAATTGGCTTCAGTCCCTCCCAACGTTGATGAGCATGGCACTGACTTTCCCCCGGAAAGTTAGTGGTTAAGTGGTTAGATGCAGACAATTCTTAGAAGCTAAACAAGGCTGCTAACTACTGTGAACCCTAACTTCTCCTTTTCGGTGATTCTCATCTTTAAGGATCAGTGGAGCCAGTCAGGGCAGTGGTCACTGTTTAAGGAAGACATAGAGGGCTTGAAAAGTCGTCAAAATTGTACTATAGTGTTTAAGAATCACTTGCAGAACTGGCGAAATATGCAGATTCTTAGGCCTCACACCAGTCCTGATTTTGACGCAGACAGTCCTGAAAACTAGTTATTTAACTAGCTACTGAAGGTTTACCTTGTAAACAGGAGAAGCGGTTGGCGCACCTTGCCCATAACAAAGATGTCGCCTCATCGGCGTCGTACTGCCCCCGCTCCTATGCGTGGGCCGTACGTCCGCCCTTCCCTGAGTCACATGACCACAAACCTGCCTCAACTACGGCTCCTGGGAGGGGCCAGTCCCGGAAGTTCTCGCGTCTTTTCCCGCCCGCTGCGGGCCTCTCTGGCCGGTGATTTGCCCGGGCGGCTCCGTGCGCTCGGCCAACGGTCTCTGATAGCGCCCACCCGAGCGCCCCGGGAGCCGGCGGGCGGCGGTCCTCGCCAGGGACCTTCAGCGGGCCCAGGGGTGAGTACTGACGTCTTCCCGAGCCGGGACCCACGGCCCGAGCCGGCTGCCGGGCCTAGCGCCGCGGCTCTGACCCTCCCTTGATGAAGGGACCCGCTGCGGCCCCGGCCCGTTAGTAGTGTAGTCTTGGCCGGAGGCCCGACTCCAGAGCCTCTCGTCCTCAACCCTGGGCTTTCCTCTTCCTTAGGGCGTCCTGAGAGCTTCAAGCGCGGTTTGGCTGGTAGTCTTCTCTCATCCTTCTCAGCCAAGGTCCTGGTACCTTTTAGTATGACCTTGAACTCGATGCCTGCCGTCTTTAAAAGTAGTTTTTGGTTTGTTTTGTCTTTATTTTGTGGAAAAGAACGTGTTCGAAAAGAAAGGCCTTGTTGGAAGCCCAGATACCTCGGGGAGGCCCCTGGTCGGGCTGCTGTGTAAGCATCCTTGCTCGCAGGTGTGGATGCCCGGAGATGCTCCTAGATTTCATTCCAGGAGCTGGGAAATGGGGAAAGCTCGGATTCCCGTTCCGACAAGCCTCTGACCTTCGTCTGCAGGTGCAGTTCCGCTTATATGGTATTTAGAAGAAAACCCTCGGTGGCGGCCTACAACTTTAGAGCAGGGGGCATTCTCGAGGGAGGAGAATGCTTTCAAAAGTGGTGGAGTCTTTTAGTTGCAGAAGATAAGCTTTAGGGCCCTTGTTCCCAAATATAGAACCAGTTGTTTACAGGCCTCTCAGCCCACTGAGAGACTTTAACTGAAGGATTTTAAATGTTTTCTCACCCTAAATGAAAAACATTTGTTTCCGTGTCTGATATCCCAAAGGAAAAACCCTGAAGAGGATAGATTCAGAAACAATTAGAGCGATTTAGTTGTACCTAGTAGTCTCTTCCCCTGTAATTAAATTGTGGGTGGGACCTGCTATGTATTTGGTTTCAAGCACTCGTGAGTTAGTTTTGCTGGATTTTTCCAAAAGGAAATTGTGTTTTCTATCCCTTCCTGTCTGATAGGGCTGCCTTATTTTATGATTACAAAGTTTAGCTGTTACTGTCCTCCCTTCTTGTGTTGAAACTTGTTTTCTGTGGATTGATAACGTTATTTTAAAATTCGTTAATTTGTATTTTTCCAAGTTTTCAGTGATTTTTCTTTAAAAATTAAAATTAATCTTGGGTTACTATACTGTGATTTTCTAATACACCCATTCTTTAAGTATAGTTGCTTGAAAAGAGAACTGAAACAGGGTGACTGTATAAAAGCCTTGAACTAACAACCCAACATTTTTTTTGGTAATTGGAGAATTATATAAATCTTTGCAACCACAGTCAGTTTGACCCAGGTTGTTTCTGTGACTTCCTGGGCTACTTCTTTGCATCCCAGTGTTCTAATATAGAAAATAAGAAAGTCAGGCTTGAATCATTGTGTCCCCAAATTGGGACACTTTCCACGAGTGGGATGTGACTTGACTTTAGGTGGTTTGCAGATGAGGGTTTTTTGTAAGAGTTATGTTTTTGTTACCTGTCTTTATATATGTACATTAAGTCCATGGTTTAAAAAAGTAATGTAAGGGTATTCCCTAGTGGTCCAGTGGTTAGGACTCAGCACTTTCAAAGCCAGGGTCCCAGGTTCAATCCCTGGTTGGGGAATTAAGATCCCTCAAGCTGCATGGCCAAAAAATAAATAAATTAAATAAAATAATAATGTAAAATTTCCTTTTAAAATACACTTAAGGTTTTTAAAAATTGAGTTAAAGAAAAGATTAAGTATAGCTGAGCGTAAACGTACTGTGTGAGTATGGAAAAAAAAGCATGAAGTTGGTAAGTTACTGATGGTTGGGAACCACCGGGCTTAGAAAGTAGAGATATAAGATCATCTATGATTCTGAGACATATTTTTGTCTCCTTAGTTATATCACAGAGACTCATGTACTTGTTGCCTAGTAGATTGTAAGTGACAAAATTGGAGTTAATAACTCCAAATGAGAAATTTATTTTCTTTATTGCCAAAAGATATTAACAAAAATGTCACAGTCTAATGAGGGAGAAAAAAATTAGATTTTGATCTATTTTACTTAAGCAGAAAAGCCAGTAATTGGAACAGTACAATGTTAAATCTTAGTAGAAAAGTTCCATCTACTTTGTCAGTAGCTCAGATTGGCTACAGGAGAATTTGACTTTTTCCAGAAGGTGTCTTTTCATTGTCCACCTTTATGATCTAAGTCTGGGATACTTTGCAAACTCAGAGAGTCTTGTAAGAGAAGATGTTGCTGTAAAATGAAATGTTGAGACCCGTGTGATGTACTAGTGGAAAGTTAATAAGAAGGCTGAAATGTAGTAAATGGAATGTGGAGAATAGCACATTTCAGGGAGATAATGTTTTTCTAGCAATTGCGTCCCTTGTTTATTATTATAAAGTTTCAGTTTATAATGTCCCAAGGCTATACTCCTTTTGAGGTATCTCTTTTCAGTGTTAGTTTTAACTATAAGCTTTTACTGTGCTTCAGATATATACGCACAGTTATAAGAAGAGTATCTCATTTAGAATGATGCCCAGAAATTGATGAGAGATTGCCTATGGGGACCTAGGTGGTTATAGGATAGGATCTGGTGGGACACTTTATTTTCTTTGCGCATTCTTTTTTTTTTTCTTTTCTTCCTTTTTTTTTTTAACATCTTTATTGGAGTATAATTGCTTTACAATGTTGTGTTAGTTTCTGCTGTATAAGAAAGTGAATCAGCTATACGTATACATATATCCCCATGTCCCCTCCCTCTTGTGTCCCCCTCCCACCCTCCCTATCCCACCCCTCTACGTGGTCACAAAGCACGGAGCTGATCTCCCTGTGCTATGTGGCTGCTTCCCACTAGGTATCTATTTTACATTTGGTAGTGTATATATATGTCAGTGCTACTCTCTCACTTCGTCCCAGCTTACCCTTCCCCCTCCCCGTGCCCTCAAGTCCATTCTCTACGTCTGCATCTTTATTCCTGTCCTGGCCCTAGATTCTTTAGAACCATTTTTTTTTTAGATTCCATATACATGTGTTAGCATATGGTATTTGTTTTTCTCTTTCTGACTTACTTCACTCTGTATGACAGACTCTAGGTCCATCCACCTCACTACGAATAACTCAACTTCATTTCTTTTTATGACTGAGTTGTATTCCATTGTATATATGTGCCACATCTTTATCCATTCATCTGTCGATGGACACTTAGGTTGCTTCCATGTCCTGGCTATTGTAAATAGTGCTGCAATGAACATTGTGGTACATGACTCTTTTTGAATTATGGTTTTCTCAGGGTATATGCCCAGTAGTGGGATTGCTGGGTCGTATGGTAGTTCTATTTGTAGTTTTTTAAGGAACCTCCATACTGTTCTCCATAGTGGCTGTATCAGTTTACATTCCCACCAACAGTGCAAGGGGGTTCCCTTTTCTCCACACCCTCTCCAGCATTTATTGTTTCTAGATTTTTTGATGATGGCCATTCTGACCGGTGTGAGATGATATCTCATTGTAGTTTTGATTTGCATTTCTCTAATGATTAATGATGTTGAGCATTCTTTCATGTGTTTGTTGGCAGTCTGTATATCTTCTTTGGAGAAATGTCTATTTAGGTCTTCTGCCCATTTTTGGATTGGGATGTTTGTTGTTTTGTTATTGAGCTGCATGAGCTGCTTGTAAATTTTGGAGATTAATCCTTTGTCAGTTGCTTCATTTGCAAATATTTTCTCCGATTCTGAGGGTCGTCTTTTGGTCTTGTTTATGGTTTCCTTTGCTGTGCAAAAGCTTTGAAGTTTCATTAGGTCCCATTTGTTTATTTTTGTTTTTATTTCCATTTCTCTAGGAGGTGAGTCAAAAAGGATCTTGCTGTGATTTATGTCATAGAGTGTTCTGCCTGTGTTTTCCTGTAAGAGTTTTGTAGTTTCTGGCCCTACATCTCTGTGTGTTCTTGTGTACTTTGTGCCATGTGCATGCGTTACTGGTTCAAATTAAATACCAAATTAAAGTTGGGAATGAAATGAAACAAATATGAAATTAAATACTGAATGAAAATAGCTGGATGAAAATTTAGCCAATGCATTTGCTTCTCCTTAATTTGTGTGTATGTATATACACTTATTTATACACATAAGTATTAAGATTCTTTTAAATGTAAGTATTTTTCATCAGGTATGTTTTCCTTTGTTTCAAATCAGAAACAATGATTGTCTTTTATCTTGCATTAACTAGTGAATGGCTGTAGGGTTCTGTCTCTAGGCCTAAAATAGGTGGTAAGCTTGTTCATTTTTTCTTTATTTTACTGTTTTTTTTAAGGTAAGGTTGTACATCTTTAGTGACTTTCATTATTTGGAGTATTTCCAGCAATGAATCCCTAATGGTAGTATCATCTAGTTTTTCAGTTAGCTCCTGTTTTTTCTCCCCCAGGGACAAAAGTGGCTCTAAATCCAGCACATGCATATTGCAGCAAGTTAAAGGATTTAATATGAAGCACAGAAACAGATAATGCCAAAAAGCAAGCAGTAGTTGGTACACTTTTGTGAGTAAACATTTTCTTTTGGCTCTGTTTTCTTAGTCTTTAAACCATTTGCATGCAAATCCTGAAAATTCACACATTTTGGTAAAGAATAAAGGGTGCAGGTTAGCAGTCATAAGTAACCATTTGTCAGGGCTTAGCCCCTTAGCAACCTCTTAGAACCCTCCAAAGCATGTCAGTAAGGTGGAGTTTAAAATGTGTGATATATCTCTGACATGGAGTTTAAGAAATGTCACAGCTGTGGCTTACATTTATACTGTCTTTAATTTTTTATTGACCTGGATTTATATATAATATCTCCTGCTGAAAATGTAGTGTAATTTGGCTTTCCAAGTTATTTCCTTTTAAAGAAACCATTACTTATACATCAAATATTAGGTTACTTCAAATACATTTTTCTGCCCTTTACATTATTTTCATAATTTTTTCATTTGTACTTAGGCTGAAAAAGAAAAGGATCTTTTCCCCCTTTAGAATATAATAATTAGAGGAGTTTTATGGCAAAATGTTTTCCTCTAATCTGACTTCACATTTGTATATACATTTGATTAGCTTTTCTTTATCCTGTTTGCAAAATCATAATACAGTGACTATGCTTAAAACAGTCTGTATATTTTTTTGAGGTATAGAATAACTCTTTTTAGGAGAGATTTGAAAATTGATTTTGGTTGAAATCCAAAAATAATTTTAAGTAGATATTTACTTTTATTGATAGTTTTCTTATGAAATGAATTGTTGAAATACTGATTTTTATTCTTTCTTTTTTACAGCTGGAAAAGCAGTTTCCGTGTTGTTATGTACACCTCCAAAAAAATTCAGATCTTTAGGGGAATTGTTGTGTAAAGTAAACTGAACTACAGGGAGGCAGTACTTTAATAGCTATTATAAACGTGTATTTACTGTATTAAAAATGAGTAAACGAACAAGCAATGACACATCACTAGGAAGGTCAGTGACATTTTATTCAGTTGAGCTGATGACATTATAGGTTTGAGACATAGTTGCTTTAAAGCTGATTGCCCATAGGCTAATCCTGTTCTTTTACACTTCTGTCAGCATTTTGTATCTTGGGGCAACTTCCTTTCTGCTGCATTTCCCTGGAGCATGGATCCTTCTCTGATTTAGGTTTCTCAATGCATTTGTCCTGTCTTTCCGTTTGAAGGCATGTCATGTTTTTTAAAAATATACATGTAAATATGATACTGAGTACAAATTAATAGTGTGAAACTTTCACACTATAGTCCCTCAAAATGAATGCAAACATTAAGGATTTATTAGTGTATATTCTGTATTTGGTATTCATTTCATCTCAGTCATCAGATATACATTCAGTAAGAGAAGTTTTAATTTTTATTTTGTGAAATTCAGGGGGTTGCTTTTTTAGTAAATTTAGAATTAACATTACTTACCTTATGAATCTGATATTCATCATTAAAAGGTTTTATTTTTTCCATGCATGACCGGAATTTCTAATTTCATTTTTATAAAGTTCTAGCAGCTTCCCTTCATATAATTCATTAGGAAATTTCTATTTAAGTTTTATTTTAGGCATTTTTTGAGTTATGTAAGCAGCATGCATATCTCTTTATGCAGAGAGGAATAGAGTGTATGTGTGTGCACATTCGTCTTGTGGTTATACAATAATTTTAAAAATTTGCTCCTAAGCAATATCCTCAAGGTGCAGTTTCAACTAAGTGAGAAGGTATTATGTTGAGGAGAACATTTTCTTCGATCTTTTATTTTTCCTTTGGATGTATTCAGTACTCACAAATGAGAAGTCTCCTTTGCTCTTTCTAAAAGGTATCCTAACTTCACTACATAGAAAAGACTGGCATTTTAACACTCAGTCACCCCTGTCTAAATTTTTTGCCCGCAGAGTGAGTGGGGCAGCATTTCCTTCTCCCAGTGCTGCTGAGATGGCGGAAATTAGTCGAATTCAGTATGAAATGGAATACACCGAAGGTATTAGTCAGCGAATGAGGGTCCCGGAAAAATTAAAGGTAGCACCACCAAATGCTGACCTGGAACAAGGATTCCAAGAAGGAGTTTCAAATGCTAGTGTGATTATGCAGGTTCCAGAGAGAATTGTTGTAGCAGGTATTTTATATTTGTTTATAAAGTTGCCTGATAAATGTATTTTATATATTTTTATGAAAACTTTTGGGATTTTTCAAAATATTACTTAGAAAAGGGGTTGGGAAATGCAACTACCTTTTCTTCAAAAAGTTTATAAATTACAATAGTCTGAAATTTCAACTAGTATTTTTTAATAATTCAGCTAATTATTGAGATATAATTTACATACATAAAATGGTGTAATTTTAAAGTGTACAGCCTGATGAGTTTTGACAAATGTATACTCCTATGTAACCTCTACCACAGTCCAGATATAGAACATATTCATTACCTGCCAAAAGGTTTCTCATTCAGTTCCTACCCTTCAATTCCAGGCAACCATAATCTCCTTTTTATAACCAGAGATCACATTTGTCTTTCCCAGAGTTTCGTATGAATGGACTGATACCCTATATACTCTTGGGTCTGTCTTCTTTTGCTTAGTGTAATGTTTTTGAGATTCTTCCATATTGTTGCTGTATCAGTTGTTCATACCATTTTATTTCTAATATTCCAGTGTGTGGATAAACCACAATTTGTTTATACATTCACCTGTTGGTGGACATTTGGGTTGTTTCCTTTTTGGTGCTATTAGGAATAAAGCTGCTATGAAGACATGTGTTTTCATATCTCTTAGGAGTGGAATTGCTAGATCATATTATAAGTTACGACGTTTAACTTTGTGAAAAGCTGTCAAGCTATTTTTGAAATTGGTTGTACCCTGTTATATTCCCATCATTGACATATGAGAGTTTCATTTGCACTCAACAACACTTTGTATTGTTAGTCTTTTTAATTTTAGCTATTGCTAGTGGGTGTGTAACGGCAAATGCATTTTAATAAAACCCATGTCTTTTAAAAATCTCCCTCCTTTCCTTTTTTTTTTTTTTTTCCCCTATGCTTAGGAAATAATGAAGACATTCCATTTTCAAGGCCAGCAGATCTTGACCTTATACAGTCAACTCCCTTCAAACCTCTGGCACTAAAAACACCACCTCGTGTACTTACGCTAAGTGAAAGACCACTAGATTTTCTGGATTTAGAAAAACCTCCTCCAGCCCCTCAAAATGAAGAAGTAAGTGCTAGAGTTTTAACATCATCTGAATTTGCAGTAATAGAGACAGAAGCAAAAGTTAAAGAGGAGTTAAGAGGCTATAAATCATATCATTGGTAATATGTAATGGAATCCTTTGGCATGGAACATTGATTACTATAAATTCTGGCTTATGAATACCCCAAATGAGATACTATGCTGTTGGGTTTTTTTAATTTAAATATTATATTTCAGGAAAATGAGAATTTTGTGGAAATCATTAACATTCATGTGGCCTTGAAGGATGAGCTTTTATGGCTGGGAGTTACACTTTAAGCAATACAGAAAAATTGGGGAAGTTTAGCATGGGAAAAAATTAATGCATCACTTTGTTATAAAAGCAGTCTGGCAAATGGCAGAGAAAGCTCTTTTTTCCCCTTGATAACTACCTATTCTCCCTGCTTGCTGGAAAGTTTCTACTGAGTTAGTTACCGTGTTGTGTAATGTTAATGGCCTTGTTGACCTAAATATGATAGTATATGGACTAATAAGGTGTTAGTTGCAAAGTTCAAATCTTGCCTTTGCTATTGATTCAGGGCCAATCTTGTAAGACTCCTTTTCTGTGGTTTCTGTAGTTGCAACTTTTTCATTATAACTTCTAAATTCCTGTGTTGTCATGATGCTAGCTAGTATAAAACAGTGTGCAAAGATATGTTTTTATTGATAATGGAACTGCCCTTGTCTTTCATTTTTCATATAATCCTTTCCTAAGAGGGTAAATCACCCATATAACCTACGGGAGTGCAGTTTCCTAGTACTATGTATGACCTTTTCTTAGGTTGGAAGTTTGAGCTGAGGTGACTCAGATAATACACTCCTAGGTGCCAGTTTAGACATTCTAGGTATTTACTCGGTGAAGAGTACTAATTTTGAATGTTCACACGATGAAGAGGCACTAAGGTACTTGCAGAATTGTACTGATATTTATTTAACAGACATTTTTTGACCTTTTGTGTAAGACACTGTGCAGTGAGACATGGTTCCTTTGTAGTGGTCTGTGAATAATATTGTCTTGGAATGAGGATTCTGCCAGGAGAGAAACCCTCCCTTTGATATTCTTCAGGTTTTGTTTGTCTTCTGATCTTTATGCTCCCACCATTTTAGACATTTGTGCCTACTTGGTGTGAATAACCAACTGAAAACAAGACGAGTACTGTCTCTCAGGAGACCTAGGTTTTAAGCCCATGTGGGGTTTACTCCTGCTGTAATTGATATATAGTCAAATGTGATAAATGTCCAAAGTGTATAGCACTGGAGTGAAAAGCTGAGGCTGAGAATTAACCTAATTTTGAAGGCCTACTTTGCTACTTATTAACCACATAACTTTGGGCAAGTTATTTAACAATTCCAAGGCTCATCTCTAAAATAATGATAAGAATAATGCCAACTGCTTACGATTATTGAGAGAATTAAATGTAATAATATGTGTAATATGTTTAGCACATGTTCTAATTGATGTGAAAAGTTCAGTAGGTACAAATATCATTGTTGTGAAAATTAACATCCTGTGGCAGAAGATTTGGAAGCATCTTAAGTGTCTATCAACAGATGAATGGATAAAGAATATGTGACATACACGCACACACTCACACGCACACAATGGAATACTACTCAGCCATAAAAAAGAATCAAATTTTGCCATTTGCAACAACATGGATGGACTTGGAGGGTATCATGCTAAGTGAAGTAAGTCTGAGAATCTAAAAAATACAACTAGTGAGTATAACAAAAAAGAAACAGACTCACAGATATAGAGAACAAATTAGTGGTTACCAGTGGGGAGGGGCAGTAGAGGGGTAAGGGTTTAAGAGGTGCAAACTGTTATGTATAAAATAAGCTACAGGGATATACTGTACAACACAGGGACTATAGCCAGTATTTTATAATAACTATAAATGGAGTATGACCTTTAAAAATTGTGAATCACTATATTGTACACCTTTAATTTATGTAATATTGTATATCAACTATACTTCAATTAAAAAAAAAAAAAAAAAAAAAACCTTTGGCAGGGGCCAAATCCTGAGATGCAGGAGAGGAGTTTCCGATATTAGTACTAGTTGCCTATTAAAAGGAAAGCAAAGGTGATGATCTGTGCTTCAGTCCATAGAAGGGTCAGGTGGCCCTCAAGAGGCAATCAACTAGTGAGCAGAGGAGAAAAGGGAAGGAACCAGAGTTCTGGTAGCATCTACAAAATGGATTGAAATGGAAGGGTAGTAAGTTCCTGAGTGCTGATAACATTGATGATTCATTCGGATGGTACTTAGAATATGTCAAGTAAGATTCCCTAAATCATTTATTCTGTAATAATCATTTTACAACATATGCCAAGGTTTCTCAACCTCAGCACTATGACATTTTAGACTAGATAGTTCTTTGTTGTGGTGAGGGCTGTCCTTTTGCACTGTAAAATATTTAACAGCATTCTTGAGCTCTATCTACGAGACGCCAGTAGCATCCTTCAAGTCATGAAAATCAAAAATGTCTCCAATAACCAAGAGGTGGAAACACCCAAATGCCCTTCAGCTGATGGATGGATAAGCAAAATGTGGTATATCCATACAGTGGAGTATTATTCAGCTATAATAAGGAATGAAGTACTTATACATGCTACAACATGGATGAACCTTGAAAACGTGTTAAGTCAAAGAAGCCAGACAGAAAAGGCCATATGTTGTATGATTCTGTGTACATGAAATACCCAGAATAGTAGTTGACAGGGGTTTAGGGGAGAGAGTACTTGGGACTGACTGCTTAATCTTGGGGTTTCCTTTTGGGGGGATGAAAACGTTCTGAAACTAGGGAGTGGTGATGGTTGCACAACACTGTGAATGTTCTGAATACCACTGAATTGTATAATATATATACTTTAAAGTGCTTAGAATGGTGAGTTTTGTGTTATGTCTATTTTATCACAATAAAAAGACAGAAAAGATGATCTGCATACATTGCCAGATGTCCCTTGGAGGGAAAAAATCACACCCAGTTGAGAACCACTGGCCTGTGGCAAGAAAGAAGAATACCTGAAGGTGACTTATGAGGAACACTATACAATTTTTGTTTAAAAGCCTGACTGATACAAGAAATAAATTTGCAGAAAATAACGTACTGACTTCTTAAACTGGCTTGAAGTATCCAAGTGAACATACGAAGAGGCCTTAAAACACGAAGCATGTAATCCCCCTAGCTCAGAGAGGGTTTATAAAATCTGGAGGTAGAGGAAATTGATGAACCTTCCAATGTGCCTAACCTCTGCTAATATTCGGAAAGACCATTGCTTGGTGATTCTACCTGCAGGCAACTAATAAAGCAACTGTGCAATAAACCATCTGATCTGGGTATGAACTGCAAAATACACAAATCATGACAGCTCTCAGTGTTCTTAGAATAGGTTAGGCAGTGTGAGTGACGAGAAAGAGGCTGTGACACTGACACTACCTCCAGATGGGAGCCCGTGAGAGAAGATCTTCCAGAGAACAAAAAGGAAGAAGTGTAAAGAAAAAGAGTTGGAAAATATGAGCACTTGACACAGCTTTGAAGCAGTGTGACCCAGTAAAAAATTTGGACTCCATCAGTATATCCCATCACTCAAGCAGTGGTTTTCTTTGAAAAAATCAGTTACAATAAATGGCCAAGAGCTTTGTGAGAAGACCACTGAAGTGGGAAGAGGAAACAAATTGGACTAAAGACAGGTTATAAGAGCTTTTGCCTGAATTGGCAACTTCTACTTCAAAGAAGAGAAGGATGAGAAAGCCATTCATTTTTGCAATAAATCTGGAACAGCAGTGAACCCCAAATGTCCCAAGAATTGGGAAGATTGGTCTGTATAAACCCTGACCTGGTTTTGGAAAAGAACAAAGGCAATGAATGTTTTCAGAAAAGGAAGTGTATCCAGGCCATGCAAGCTTTACACAGGATGCCAAATCCTACAGCAACCATGTACAAAGTGTCTAGCTCAAGGGCTAGGAGGAAATATATCCAGCTAGAACTGACTGCTTTAAAGAATACACTTGGAAAGCAGCTGGTCTAGAAGCTGTCATTATGGACAACACAAAGGCCATGGGTGTCTAACAGAGGGCTCTAGATCTGTAATCCAACAGTCTGTAAGGACGTAGCAGGTGGTTATCAGTGCCGGGTGATGGTCCAGTTCAATTGCCATGACAACCTCTAGGATGTGAAGTGAAAGTACATATTTGACCTGAAGTGTAATGAGTGACTTAGCCGTATGGCACGTCCTAAAACAAATGTGGAATTGGGAGATTGGGATTGACATATATACACTGCTATGTATAAAATAAATAACTAATGAGAACCTACTTTATAGCACAGGGAACTCTACTCAGTGCTCTGTGGTGACCTAAATGGGAAGGAAATCCAAAAGAGAGGGGATATATGTATACGTATGGCTGATTCACTTTGCTGTACAACAGAAAGTGACACAACATTGTAAAGCAACAATACTCCAATAAAAATTGAAAAACAAAAAAGAAATGCGGAAGGACTCCCGGACACTCAGAAGGACTTAAAAGGGTCCTGGCAGTAGCTCTGAAAATTGAGAAGCTGATGAATGTGGGTCTGATCACAATTTGGTGATGGTTTGTTTAACTCCCTTTCCTTTCCCCTCCTGTGGAAAGAGGAGCTGGGGCTGGGATGAGTAGAATGGAGCAAAAGGGAGAGAAGAGGAAAAAGAACAGCTTAATTCATTGTATGTATGTATGCACATTCATCCATGGAAGATTCAGAGATGTGCACTCACATCCTTTGTGCAGTTACTGTTTCATGGCCCTATCGCATGGGCATTGTATTCACTGCTGACACATGTATTCCATGTTTCCTTCCCATTGGGTTCATTATTTTTCCAGGTAGTTTATTATTTTAAATTTTGGACAGTGAATATGTTTTGGGGGGTAAGACTGTTCACCCCGATTGTTTGGCCCACATTTTTAACTCTGCTTTACCTCTTCCAATAAAAGTCCCACAGCAATTCACAGATTAATGTCTCTGAACTATTATTTTTAAAAAGGGGATCAGTATCCATTAATTTGCCGAATAATTCTATTCAATAGTTACATATTTTTATTTCTTAACTGAAAATGCAACTAACATACTATTTGAGGATAAATCTCCATTTTTCACTGAGATTATACCAAATGATAAAATGGAGGATTTCCCTTTCTCTCTCTGGACAGAATTAAAAGAAATCCTTTTCTTAAAAAGGTAAAATTGTTTTAAAAATACTAAAAAGAATCAAAAACTGCCTAAATGAAAGGCATAACAAACATTTCAGAAATCAGTTTTCAATCTTAGTTTTTGGTACAGATTTTCTGAGGGTTGTTTAGTAATCACAGTGAAGATTGTGAAGAACTATGAAGAACTAGGCTATGGTAGGGTCTATGTGCTTGTAATACTTACTGGCTGTTTTAATATAATTACAGTTTTTTATTTTGTATGTGTTGAGAAGTAAAACAAGTGTCTTGTTAAAAAAGGGAGTACGGGGAATCAGTATATATATCCGAAAAAAAACAAAAACACCAATTCGAAAAAGGTACATGCACCCCAGTGTTCATAGCAGCATTATTTACAGTTGCCAAGATATGGAAGCAACCTAAGTGTCCATCAGTAGATGAATGGATAAAGAAGACGTGCCATATATGTATATATATATATACACACAGACACACACACACACGCATACACATACACATACACATAATGGAATATCACTCAGCCATAAAAAAGAATGAAATTTTGCTGTTTGCAGCAACATGGATGGACTTGAAGGGCATTATGCTAAGTGAAATAAGCCAGACAAAGAGAAACACTATATGGTAATGTGGAATCTAAAAAATACAATAAACTAGTGAACATAACAAAAAATAAGCAGACTCACAGATATAGAGAACAAACTTAGGGTTACCAGTTTGTGGGAGGGATATGAGGATGGGAGAGTGAGAGGTACAAACTATTGGGTGTAAGATAAGCTACAAGGATGTATTGTACAACATGGGGAATATAGACAATATTTTGTAGTGACTGTAAATGGAGTGTAACTTTTAAAAATTATGTAAAAAAATTAAAACAGGGACCAGTATAGGGGAAAATACTGAGGCATCTGAGCAGATTCTTGAAGGAGAGACAAGCTCTAGATAAATCTAGAGAACCAGTAAACAAAGACCTCGGGGACACTGATTTGTCCAGGATTCTGTGAACAATCGAAAGTAACTCAGAGTATAAGCACATTAGAGGAGAATTTTATGCCTATAATTAGACACAGAAGACCCTGTGACCTAACTTTCAGGAAGTTACCTGAAGCTTGGAAACTGTATTTCTCAGCCTAAGGAGTGCATGTAAGTTTTATAATGGGTAATCGATGCAGGATGGTTCTGAATGACATTTTAAAACCTTGAATTGTCAATTGGATCTCAATAATGTTGGGAACAACTGTAATTAATTTTAAAAAATCGTTGAATTTAAAAAAAAACCATCATGATTGTGAACTAAAGGGGAAAGTATTTAAAGATCACTGTGTCCCTTATCACCTCAGGCAGTATCAGAGTTCTTTGGTATTCCAGTATACAGGCTGGTCATATGAAGGCATAACAAATATATGCTTTTGTCTTATGTTGTCTTTTTCCTCAATATGTTAGTAATATCGAGCTTAATGTTCCTGTTAAGATATAATTTAAATCAGGTTTCAAATGGCGAAAATAACAGACCTAGGATCCTCTACTTTGTCAGGTTATGTTGGAGTCATAGACTAATTTGTCTTGTCCTGTCTCTTCCTATCTGCTGAATGTTAGTTCTTACCACATAGCAGGAGGAACAGTTCTAATATAGTAGGAAGTTCATCTTGATCCCTACAACGTGGAAGAACAGTTCTCTAGAAAAAGCAAGCACAACTGTGCAGTAGGTAGGCAGGCAAGCATCAGTGGGATTCTCACAAAGCAACCCAGTACTGCTCACTGTGAGTAAAGTATATTTGATTGTGGAGGTGCTAGTTTTTATGTATAAATGCCTTCAAGTAATTTTGATTTTTGGTTTAACTGTAAAGAACTCTTGCAGTAGGCTCTGAACCGACTCCTTTTCTGTTTTTTTTTTCTTTTGTTTGGATGGGTAAATGGTTTATAACCATAACCAAATCTAAACCAGTCTCTGAAGTTATGTGCTGCATAGTAGTTTTAAGTTTTGCTGTCATGAAATACAGGATTTATTCTGCTTTGATGGTGCTTATAACCTGATAATCTATTCCCAAGTCTTTGAGCATTAATAGATACTGGGTGTGCATTTTTGAAAATCTTAATTATCAAGTCCATTGGTTCACACACCAGTTGTCCTTTACAGTAAAGTTCAAATTTTTCTTTAACCATTAAGTTGCCATGGGTGTTTGTAGTAAAAAAAAAGAAGAAAAAAAAATTCTAAAAACTAAGTGAAGTTAATGATTACCATTGTTCTAGTTGTCTATTGCCCCTTAATAAGCCACCCTAAACTTAGTGGCTTGAAACAAAAACAAATAATTTTGCTCGTGGATTCTGCAGGTGAGGTATTTGCATCAGGAATAATGGGGAAAGCTTATTTCTGTTGTATATTATCTGGGCCTAGGCTAGGAAGTATCAAAGGCTGTTTATGACTCACACAGCTTGAGGCTGCAGTCATCTAAAGGTTTACTCACTCATGTCAGTTGATACTACCTGTTGTGTGGACCTCAGCCAGTATTATTGGCTGGTGCACCTACACATGGCCTTTTGTGTGGCTGCTTGGGCTTCCTCACGTCATGGTGTCATTGTTCGAATCTCAAACAGCTCCCCTGGGGAAGGGGAAAAAGGCAGAAGGCTTATTGTTGTTTATGACCTAACCTCAGAAGTCACATTGTATCATCTCTGCAGTGGTCACTAGAGTACCCAATTTCAAGGGAAGGGAACATAGATTCTATTCCTTAATGGAAAGAGGTCAGTGATAACATTTTGTAAGAAGAGCGTGTGAGATGGAAGATTGTGGCTATTTCTAGAATGCTAAAACCTTTAAGCTAGTAAAACTTTTTTTAAGTCTAGTTTTCAGATATCCAACCAAATCTGAATTTGTTTTAACCCCAGAAGCCAGGAACACTTATTTGAGTACAAATATATCCCATGTCCTATAGTGTTTGTGCCTTTAAAAACTATTGTAAATTGTTCTTAAATAATGTAAGTATATTGTATAAATTATGATAAATAAAAATATTAATAATTGTACCAAGTAAGATTGATACTTAAAAAGAAACTAGAAGTAACTTTTTTTGTAAAGAAGATAAGCATTCCTAAGTTTATCTGCATTATAATAAGTAGGGTGTTCTTTTTTTTAACATGTCTACGTATAATACATATACCTGGTAGCAATTCCTGGTTATTTCTTTGTAAATTTTGTGGCTAGTCTTTGATAAAGGTCCTTTTGATGCTAAGCAGTTACTAGGCTATTAAGAATATTCTCTGTTCCTTTTCCCTTCTTTGTGCCTAACAGATCCGTGCAGTTGGCAGGCTAAAAAGAGAACGCTCTATGAGTGAAAATGCTGTTCGCCAAAATGGACAGCTGGTCAGGACTGACTCCATGTGAGTAGAACCACTAAGCATTGTATCTCCTTCATTAAGTTTTCTCCATATACTGTCTGTCCCATCCTTTTCTAAATAATTTATTTCCTTTTTTAAACTCTCAAATATTAAAAAAGAGGAGGAAGTGTATGTTTTATGCCTAAGAACCTGGAGAAAAAAATAATTCTAATAGTGTTTGAAATCTACTATACATTTACATCAACTTTATATTTTTGCAATACTCTTTATAGCCTTAAAGTCTGACCATTTTGTTAGTTGTGAGAATTTTTCAATCCTGTTATCCTCTTCTATGTGTATGACAGTCTTCTATAAATATGATTTGCTTATTTTGGAAATCTCCTATAAAGTATACTTAAGAAAAATTGATAAAAGTAAGTGCTCAGCTCTATGTAGCCTTCCAAAATGCTTATCTAGCATATAGGTTGGGGGGAAAAATATAAAATAAAAGGAAAACGATTTATTAAGGAAGCATCTTTATTTTCAAGTTACTCAGTTTGTCATAAGATTGTCACAGGATTAGCCCTTTCCAGCTCTGCTTCTCATGAGCCATGGTAAACAATGCAGCGTAAGCAAGTCGAATTTTTTTACTTTCCAGGATTAATTTTTAGTTCTCTGCCTACTGAGTCATTGAATTCTTGGATCCCTTTCATTTTCCAAAAATTTAAACACATTAACAGACTATTTGTGTCAACCTTTCCTGCTCATTTGGTTACATTATACCCTGATCTTAAAGCTACCCCACTATAAGATGTTTTAAATTGGGCAAGTGCTTTTTGTTGTTTTATTAAAATTAATGGGTTTTTAAAAATAAAATATCCCTTTAAAAACTGGTCAGAATTTTAAGTCTCAAAGCCATTGATGATTTAGATTGTTAATGTAAATTAATGTTTCTTCCTCATTAAATTTTCAGTCAGTTTTCATAAGCTCATTCACCATGAACCATATTTGATATCAAGCATCATATTAGCTTCTCAAACTGACTTTTATTTTTGGCCACACGGCACATGGGATTTTAGTTCCCTGAGCAGGGATCAAACCTGCACTCCCTGCTTTGGAAATGTGGAGTCTTAACCACTGGACCACGAGGAAAGTCCATATTAGTTTCTCTGGGAACGGCCAAAGAATCAGATGATACGTCTCTCACAGAGCTTGCAAATCTAGCTAAAAGCAAAACTTTTAAATTTACATACAAAATAACTAGAGCACAATGCAATTATACTATTTCTGTTAAACCATATCAAGTTCTAATTCAGACTTGACTAAAGAGTATAAGGATGCAGAAGAGATTTTGATGGGGGTAGGATCTCTCTTTTCTTGTGTTAGGTGCAAAGGAGAACTATAACAGTTCTCATTTCTTGGGGAAGCTTTAAATGTCTCCTCAAGTCGTTAGAGTTATTCTGAAGGGGTATATAGGAAGATAGTAAGTTTAAAAGAATATATGTCTCCTTCAGGGAAGGCCTATCTGCAAGGTTCAACCATTATTAATATGAAGTTTTTATGATAACTGTATGTTTCCCTGAAGGTACCTGGCTTACAGTGATGTCAGCCAGTCCATGGAATCCGCTTTTCTAGAATATATTCGATTATGCTACACAAATGGTGAAAAGACCATATAATTTATGGTGAAGGTAGCTTCTTGATATTTAGTACCCTCTCAGAATGATTAAACTTACACCTGAGGGCTTTTGTTATTTTCTATTTGTAATACTTTCTAAGGCACCAAAAGTTTCTAATAAACTTTCCTATTATATAAAGATACGGCTTATTGTTTAGGTCCGTAATTACCTTGAAACTTCCCGTTAGTGAAATAAAAACAGGACTGTTTTACTATAGCATCATTTTTGGTTTTTTCCCCCACAAAGTATACATTATTGATAGCTGAGTTAAATTGAAGAGAAAGGAAACAGCTCTATTATATATAAAAACCAGCCTAGTGAAGTATGATTTATAGTAAATGATTAGTTCGTAGATATTTTTGCAGTTACCTATAATGTAAGTCCTCGTAACAGAAAAGGTTAACAAAGTTAACTAATATTTGAATTCTTTGTTTCTTTGAGTTGCCTTAATGGCATTTTTAAATAAAACAGTCTCACGTTTTAATTTTTGGTAGTAAAAATAACATGAATATTTAACTATACAATTTTTGCAATGAAATGCTTACATTATTCAACCATACTTTTTGTTTTAGTAGTTATTTATGTTACCGTTACCTGGTAACATACTTAACCATCTTTTTGTTAATAATGTAACCTTGCCCTTTCTTCTCCTACCATTATTAATTTCATCATTTATAATTGTATTCATCTTTAAGAATCTACATTGAGTGAACTTTAGAATTTTAATATAATGAGCACATTATGTATTTAATGTTGGCAATGTGGTAAGGAAGAAACTATTAATATAACATGGCCGTATTTTACCTCTACCAAAGTAATTATTAGACTCTTCCTGTCTTTACCTACTGTAGTCTTTTCTTTGTAATGTGAGATTACTTATGTGTCATTGTGCACGAACCATTGCCTGCCTCCACTTTATTTATTCCTTGGCTTTAAGAATAGAAGTCTATATGGGTATAAGAGCAGAAACACTGGCCTTTGTTTTCTTATTTACCTTCAAGAGACAATGGGATTGATTATTGTCAGCTATTGACACAGAAACGATTGACCGGTAGAATCTTATTGAGCTTTCTGTTTGTGTTATAAAAGCTGAATATATAAAAAGAAGCATAATTATTATTTAAGGTGGCACAGATCAGATTCTGCTCCAAGAAATAAAATTTCAAGGTTCCAGGCACCGATTTCTGCACCGGAGTACACGTAAGATTTTATCTGCTCTGCTTTTCACAAATAGGAGTTGTTCTAATTTTGCAGGCTTTTTGTTATACTAATATTTCACCAGGTAATTGGCATGTAATGCCCTAATTCTTTTACTGTTTGGCTTTTTAGTACCTCTGTTTCAGGATTTCTCAAGCTGTCATCATACACTTAGTCAAGAAAAGAAATAACTAGACCAAGGAAGTTATGTATGATTTTGGGTATAAGGGTGAAAGTAAAAGGGAGTAATTTACACCAAGCATCCTTTTACATTTCCTTCATTTTGATTTGGTTGGCACATTAGTCCTCTATAGATTCATTTGAACGAGGTTCAGTGATCCCAATCTTTTTGAAAATTTTAGCATACTATCTTTTCTTGTTCATTTTCACCCAGAAGGACAAAGAGTCTGAGTGTAGTTTGTCATTAAGTTTTTTTTTAATTCCATAGATTAAAATTATGCTTTGGAAGAATATTTTGAGATCATTAAACCCACTCTTTCTGTACATGTGCTAGAACTAGGTGTGGGAATGACTGGCCTCCTAAGGGGAGGGGGCACTTTGGCGTGCAGTGTAAGATTCATCAGCTAATGTAGTTCTTAGGTATCAGAAGCCACCCCAGCAACCAATGATTTTTCTCCTGTTCTCATTCTCTTGTTCTGCTTCTAAGAACTAGCCAGTTACCTTAGTGGCAACAAATTAAAGCTTTCTCTCTATTTAAAATTTCAAAAGAAATGGTCAGAATTTGTGTTTCAGTGAGAATTTTTTCTCCCCCATTTTACTGTTTTACCTTTACTGTATTTTTGGAAGAGGCTGGACCCTCACCAAAGAGATAATCCTCACAGTTTGAGAAACACTGTTCCTATGACAACCCACGCAGAAAGAGGTGTTTGACTTTGGACTTACCTTGTAATAATGACATAGTTATGCCAAGTAGATCTTTTAAGTTTGAGTTCTGACATTGGCTAATGTTGTTTACTCAGCAGTTGTGTAGTAAGATTTCCTGTAAGCATGAAAGAGAGCTATTACTAATGAAATAGCATGGTAAATGTAAGTGCATTCTTCAAAATGTCCTTACTTTTTTTTTTTTTTTTTTTTTTGCGATACATGGGCCTCTCCCGTTGCGGAGCACAGGCGGCTCCGGACGTGCAGGCTCAGCGGCCATGGCTCACGGGCCCAGCCGCTCCGTGGCATGTGGGATCTTCCCGGGCCGGGGCACGAACCCGCGTCCCCTGCACCGGCAGGTGGACTCTCAACCACTGTGCCACCAGGGAAGCCTGAAAATGTCCTTATCTTTTATGAAAGAAAGAGATAAAACAGATTTTGCTGTTTTATAACATTACTAGGATCAATTTATCATCAACATGCATTTTTATTAAATTACTAATATTATACCATCTGCTTAAATAATCTCAGTGCCTTCGCAATATGTTTACTTTTTAATTTTTCACAATAGTTCATGCGTCAAAACAAACAAAAAAACCAAAAACTCAGTCCACTTTGGTTGGGTGGATGCGTGGACAGAGATGAAACTCAACTCTGAACTGTTTCCTGTCACAGTTGATGCCAGTGCTGGACATCCCAGCTAGCGTCAGACCAGTTGCTAAAATGGGGCTTATTCTTTTTCCATCTTAACTTTTTTTCTTGAATTTTATTTTATTATTTTTTTTATACTGCAGGTTCTTATTAGTCATCCATTTTATACACATCAGTGTATACACGTCAATCCCAGTCTCCCAATTCATCACACCACCACCACCACCCCTGCCGCTTTCCCCGCGTGGTGTCCATACGTTTGTTCTCTACATCTGTGTCTCAATTTCTGCCCTGCAAACCGGTTCATCTGTACCATTTTTCTAGGTTCCACATATATGCGTTAATATGCGATATTTGTTTTTCTCTTTCTGACTTACTTCACTCTGTATGACAGTCTCTAGATCCATCCACATCTCTACAAATGACCCAGTTTTGTTCCTTTTTATGGCTGAGTTTAAATTTTTTTATTTGTAAAGAGACTTGCAAGACTGCTTAAAGCTTGAAGAAGAAAGAATTGCTAGACTGTTTCTTCTAATTCGGGTGAACTATGGTCATCTTATGATTTAGTCATTCAGTTCATCTGTAGATAGAAATAAATATTAACAATCAAGGGCATTTAATCTATACGTACACTGCCTAAAGTGTTGTATAAAATGCTTCCTACTCTGTTTTTGCTGTTTATGAAAGATTGCCATGTACATTAATGAAAAGTCAGATTTCTTACTAATCTTTGAAACTAATTTCTTTTCAGAAACAACCTGAAGTCCAAATATGTTTTTCATATTAGTCTTTGATGAAATATCTTTACTAGTATTGATGAAGACTTAATTTAACTTTTATCTTTCTTCATAAACATGTTTTCTTATTAAGTTACAAATACGGACCATGTTTTTTCCATTTAATACCATATTCCAGTTTTATGTGATCATAGAATCTTAGAATTGAAAGTGATCTTATAGACTGTTTTTAAAACTCAGTCTTCTGTGCATTCCGTGTTAAGAATTCCTTGCAATTAATCTGAAAATAATTTATTCTAGATTACCTGATTTCCTGTGCAGGAACAGGAAAAACTTGTACTTTTAGAACTTAAATAAACAATTCCTACTGCTTATTTCTGACAAAATGAGTTCTATCAAAGGAAGCCTTCTGGGCTTCCCCGGTGGCGCAGTGGTTGAGAGTCCGCCTGCCGATGCAGAGGACACAGGTTCGTGCCCCAGTCTGGGAAGATCCCACATGCCGCGGAGCGGCTGGGTCCGTGAGCCGTGGCCGCTGAGCCTGCACGTCCGGAGCCTGTGCTCCACAACGGAAGAGGCCACAACAGGGAGAGAGCCCGCATACCGAAAACAAAAAAGGAAGCCTTCTTTCCTTTTAAATTTTAATGGGCAAAAATGCATCAAACTTTTTTCATGGATTTGGATTCAGTTTGTTGGCGTTTTTGCTGTAAGATTATAATTCTAAATATTGATCATTATAGACTTTAATATGTATGTAGCTAATTTATTTACTAGTACAAAGTGATATGTGAAGTGTTCAATTTAGCCCCAAAATACGAAGACAAATGCTTTAATTATATCAATAGATATTGTACTGATTAGTCTTTTAAAACTTGCTTAAGTATAAATTTATCCAGGTATGTTGGCACTGCTATCAAGAAGAGTGTAAGATGGATTGCCTGTTTATGTTGACGCAGAACTGGCCACTCCATTCCTGCCTCTGGTGACACTTTTCTAACATGAATTCAGTCTGGTTTCTCACAAAGAGCAAGAGCTTCAGGTTTTCTCCATGCTGCCTAAAGAGAATTATGAGTGCAAGGCTAGTACCTAGACTTTGAGTCCCAGGTATACTGATTCTTTTACTCTCCTTGGATACCCAGGGTGGGTTTTTGCCAAGTACCATGGGTCAGTTGATAAGCTATATATATATACTGTTGTTGATACGTTATATATATTACAGAAGATTCCTAGTCTGTGGACAGATGTTTAAGGTAACCATCCATGAGCCTGCGTCTGAAAAATTGCATTTATCTTGACACGATTAGGCCTAATTCCTATGGTGAATCAGCCCTGACAGATTAATTTCTCAGTATGCCAAGATTTGGCTTAAATCTTTGTCTTTTAAGTAGTCTTTGGAAAACATGGTTTTCATGTTTATTGTACTTCTCACTTTGGATCATCAATACATTGGAAGCTATTCACAAAATTGTGGAGAAGATTTTGTTTTTAATTTTCTGGGACTCTGGGAATAATATTAGACGACAGTTACCCCTTCAAACATTATTGCACTTATTTTGTGGTTCCCAAACAAATACATGTTAAGTTAGAAAAGATTTACACAAATCAAAATAAAATCTTTTATCTTTTCAGTTGTTCGCTGTCTGCTCCACTTTCACCCTTTCGTGCAGAATACACAAGGATGAGGTTTAGTCTAAGGCGTTCTTGCCCTGACACTGAGAAAAAATACTGAGCCCACCTCCCATAGTCCTCTTGTAACAAAATCTCTTACAACAAACCAGACGCCAAGCCCGTATATCAGTTAGATACCTCATATGGCTGATCATGCTCTAACATTAGACAGGCCTCTGAAAGTAAAGAGTTCAGGTTAGAATTGTAAAATTGCTTCATTCAAATGCTCTCAGCTTTTAGGAGGTGCTGTCAGGGGAGTCAAAGAAATTGTGAATCGCAACTCATGTGTGAAAGAATGGTCAAGATCACTGTCACTGAGCAACCCAGAAATAGCTGTTTAATATCCATCCCTACCTTTTCATTGTATTCACAGAATTGGGAGTAGTTTTATGTTTTAGTCATTTAGCTAGGGAACATATGCTTTAATGTAACTAAGTAATCAAAATGCTTTTGTTAGCTTTCTGAAACTTTAATTCATCTTTAAATTTACTCGTCATAAACTCAGATTGCTTCATTGTCTTTGTGAAGTATTTGAAATGGCATTTTCATGGAATCACTTTGGATTCATGTGTGTAAACCTTGACGCCTATATACCAGAATTCTCTATCTGACTGTTCTGCCCATCCATAAGTTGCAGTGCAGTGTTGTTTGTTAGAGGCTTGGTTTACTGAATTGGAATATACACACAAAGCAAAGAATGCCGCTTCTCCGAAGCTGGGGGTTGAATATACTCCTTGCCATAGTTCTCTTCCCTCTTAAAGTTGTTCTTTCATATTCAGTTTGTTTAATTTGATGTTTAAAGCCACAGTTACAGATGCTGCATGGTAGCCTGTTTTTTAAAGCAATTTAATATGTTTATTAACTTCTTTGGCTTGACTCTTTTGGGGGAAAATGAAGGGTGGGAAAAATGGGCAAGAAAACGATAATTCTTAAAATATGAGTTTTTGGGGAAACTGCTGAGCTGAAGTTTTATACAAATCTGACTTGAGTGTTTTTCTCTTCATTTGCTGTGCTTGTGTAAACAGTGTGACACCATCGCCACAACAGGTTCGGGTTTGTCCTCCCCGTATGCTACCTGAAGATGGAGCTAATCCTTCCTCCGCTCGTGGCATTTTGTCGCTTATCCAGTCTTCCACTCGTAGGGCTTGCCAGCAGATCCTGGATGTGCTGGATGAAAGCCGCAGGTGATCGGCCCTGTGATTCGCGCCAACTTTACCGCCTGTCTTTCGGCTCCTCATGAGTGGAGTGTGGTGTCTTCCTTTTATGTTCGCGCCTTTGTCTCTTTCTCAGATGCAGCGGTTTAAAACAGCTTGCTTTGTTGCTTTCTTTTAATTTGAAATTATTGTCCAAAATTCACATTTCACAAGGTTCTGTTAGCTTCTCTTCAGTCAGGGAGGGAATTCAGTTAATAACTAATTATACACGGGAAGTATAATGGTTTTTTCCCCAAGACGTTGTTGACCTGTTTTTAAGTACCTGTTTCCATTTTTGGATATGCTGAGGGGTACTTTTGGATTGAGTGTGTGATGTTGGACTGAGCTGTACTCATTTTCTTCAGTAAGTCTTTTGATTCACTCATTTATGTTACTAATGTGGTTGGATTAGGAAGCAAATCTGAGAAGGTGATATCAGTGTAGCTGCCAGGACGTTTTTTTTCTTTCCTCTTAACTAGGGATTTCCACACCTGTACTGAAAATCCCAGGTGCTGTTGCCTTTTTAATGCTGATTTTTTTCAGTATGGATAGCGTATCTAACTTTCGAACATCTCCAAGTAAAATCATTAGTAGTGTATACTTAGACTTGTTCATTCAAATAAATTTTTTGCCATTATTTCAAGTACTTTTTTCTCCTTGCTTCATTACTAGATGGTGTTTTGAAAAGATGGAATTTGGGAGCTTTTTTGGCATAGTATGAGGAAGGTACAGTCAGTTTCACTTCAACTCTAAACATTTTATGTAGTAACTCTGTGAGTCAGTGTTTGAATTTTCATGCTCATTTTTTTAGACTGTTAATTTTGCATTTTGAAGAATTCCCAATAAATTTAGCTGGCCCTTCAGTAAACCTTTTTTCTTGCTTTAGGAACTGATATGTCTTATGACTTGCTCTGAACAAACTTTTTCTTATTAAGTGCTTTTGACCCTCACATAAGCCCCAGGTGTTTCACCTCCTGCTGCTCGACTAGTGTTTCTGACCCTTCCCAGGGCTCCCATACGTGTGGGTCCAAGGACTTAAAGCTGTACCAGAAAGAGCATAAAAGAGAAAACTCATGGCAGGGGGAAAATTATATATACATCTATGGACATATGTATTCATGTGTAGGTGTGTATGCATGTGTGGGTGTGTGTGTATGTGTATGTGTATATATATATATCTCCCTCCCCAAAGGTTTAGAGTCCCTCTTATCTCTTTGAAGCTTCAAGGACTATCTTAGAATATTTGGAGCCTGTAAGAAGCATCATGGTTCAGAAGAAAAAACATGGATCAAGGGAGGGGGTCAGATTTAATCTTGATCCACCCCACTGAACAGCTATAGCTACATGATGGCCTTGGGCGAATTGCTTAGCTTCTCTGGGCCTCATTTTCTTCATGTATTTTTAAAAAAGAATGGTAATACTAATATTGACCTAGTTTTCTGGATTCTTATGAGGAATCTTCCCCCCTCCCCTGCTTTTATTTAAGATATAGGGATAATGGACTCAAATTCTTTATTTAGTGTCATGGGAGATCCTTAAAAAGATACTGAATATAAAGTACCTGGCACCTGACTAATATTTCCAAAGCCCTGTTTTCTCCTCCTTCCTTAACATAGATTTATTCTTCACCAGGTATTCTCTTTAACTTTTTAATTAAAATAGGTCCTTAGAAGAGACTGGATTATTAGGTCAAATTACATCATATCAAATGCTATTATAGTGAAAATATCTGAATGAGAAAGATGTTTATAAATCCTTTATAGATTAAATAATAGCTAGATGACAAAGCCCCAGTATGTTAAAATTATTTGTCCCATCCCCCTACATATAGACAGTTCAGTGCAGTATATGGAAAAATAGTTGGATTTTTTTACTCCTTAATGGAAAAATTTTGCCTCAAGCTCACAAGTACAAAAATCTTACTAATTATAAAATTTACTTTGTATTCTTTTATTTATAAAAAACTATTTTGAGCTTTAAGTGATTTTTTTTTTAATTGTAATAAATTGATAACAAAAATTCCCTTTTCTGGGAAGGAAGTATCTTTTCTTATTCACTTAAATGAGATTTTTAAAATTCATAAAGTAGTTGTATTAATAATTCTTTGCTCCTGGATACACACCTTGGAGCCTGGAGGACTAGATTCTCATTAGTGTTATTGGATGCTTTCAATTTTGAAAGTTTTTTTTTTCCCCGTTGCACTGAAATCTCTTATGATCAAATGTTCAGCAGGATTTAATCAGAGTTGTAAGTGCCAAATCAATTTTTATTTCTACTACGAGAACTATCTAGCGTGACTTACCAGATATAAGAAATAGGAATGTGAAATTTGGATAATGTTCTATTTGCATGACTATAAAATAATACTGCTTATAAAGTTTTAAGTGCTTTTATGTTCCTTGCTCTGTACATCATTTTTTTTCCTTTCTGCTCTTTATTCCTGGCTGTTACGCTAATGCAATATCTTATCTTTGGTCTTAAGCCATCACATTAGGTATAGTTAAATTAAGTTTGGCAGAATGAAAGAAAAAACCTGTCTGCCTGTTTTATTATCATAAAATAATGCATTTTCACAGTTGTTTGGCATGAGAACTATTTTTAGTTTATACTTTGAGGGACACTGTTGAAAGGTTTATGTATTTTTGTTTTCTCATCTTGAGAACTTACATGATCTAAAACCAAGTTCATCTGAAAACAAAGTTAAATCCTAGGTACACATTAGAAAAGTTTATTTACATAGGTCAGTGCTGTGCATTTGGAAAACTGAGGTGTCAAAAATTTACCAAAACACCTGGGACAGGCACCAGGTGTGTTCTTCGGATTTAAAATGCTGTTTAGTCCTTGCTAGTTATGAAATGCTCATGTCTTCTGACACCTGCTAGAGCTCCATATCTCACTCGCCAATGCAAAATATTAACGTTTTTAAAAAGAAACTTAGTCCCTATGAAAGAACATGATTTAAGTATTGACAAATTAGTCATGTTCAGCATGCTTAAGTTTTACTTTTAGAAGGAGCTTGAGGGACTTCCCTGGCGGTCCAGTGGTTAAGACTCCACGCTTCCACTGCAGGGGGCGAGGGTTCGATCCCTGGTCAGGGAACTAAGATCCCGCATGCTGCGTGGCATGACCCAAAAAAGGGGGGGGGGTTGATTATTTCTTTAACAGATTATACTAGCTTTGAATGAAAAGAATAAGAAACCAGTATGTAAATAATTTATATTTTTTGCAGGTATCCATATAAATATATTACTTGGAAGACCTAGAAATGCAAAGTTGCAGTTGAAACAGTGTTTGTTATTTATCATTTTTAAATTTAAATTTTTAATTTTTAAAATATTCATATAATTCCTGATACATCCAAACTGTTTACTTACTGTAGAAGTTTCCTTTTTTTTAGCAAAGAAACATATTCTACTAAGACCATTTACTCAAAAATGTCAGTATACAAGTTAATGCGGGAACTTGTAGAGCCTTGAATCTCATTCCCTTTTGCCACTTTAATTACAAGACATATTTTCAAACTTAAAAAGATTTTTTAATGTATTAAGTCATAGTTAGAGTAGAAAGTGGTACTTGAAGTTTCTAACTTTGCCAAATACCTCTCTAATTTACTTTTATATTATATGTGTCAATTGCCAGTGTGAGAAGACAAAATGAAATACGTTGTGAAAGGTAACTGTATTATTTTCTGGCTCTGCGTTGTAAAAGGGAAATCTCTGTGGTGGAATATGTTGAATATGGCAGCTCCTTTTGAGCAATGTATGATTTTTTTTTTAAAAAAGCTTTAGGTAACACAAAGCGGTGGCTTCATTTTTAACCTTTCTTATGTTAATGTAGTGTAGGATTGTAGTTAGGTAAGTTTTCCTAATGTCACAGAATAAATTAATTAGTAGGACGGGATGAGTTGAAAACCTGTCTCAAGCATATGTAATTTTTCACTGTTCTTTAGCTAACAAAATAGAAGTCTTAACATCTGACCCAAAAGTCTCTTATCCTGTAGGCTCTGGAAATTTTCTTTAAGCACCAGTAGTGCCTTTAGGAAACATACAAGCTAAACATTAAAATTTTCTTGTATAAACTGACCTGACATAAAATAGTGATTTGTATTGTAACCAAAATTCTACAGCTGTGCCAACTTGCAGGAAAAAAATAGTGCATTTGGTACTAAGTGTTTACTGTAAGAATTGTCTTGATACTTAAATTCAGACAAAACCTGATCCGTCTGTAGAGTAGGAGACGTTCAAAATAGAATGTAATAATTCTTCAAATCCTTATATGGGTTCTATACCCCAGTCTCCTTTCTCTGGTTGTAAATATTGCTGATTACTTTTTGGGGAATTGAGCAGTGACCACATAGAGCTTTTGTTTTCTGATTTAAAAAATAAAATTTATTGGAAAGGTTACTGCTTACCTAGGTAGAGAACTAATTGTCATCTAGAATCAAAGTATGTACTCGGTGAAAATCCAGTGCACCTTAGTCTTCATTTCCAGCAGTCCTGTATGTCGCTTCTGGTTGTCTCAAGGTCAGACTCACATATTTGATTGCACTTCCTGTAATGGGCTGCAGTATGCCCCTCAAAGCATGTCCCTGATCTCCTTAGCTCCAGAGCTGAGGCTTGCAGTTTTGCTCTTGAGAGCTGAGGGTTTGAATGAGACACAGCTATATTAAGGTATCAGGCACTAAGCAAAATTAATGAGGTGGGAGGCAAGGAATTGTGAGAAATGGGAGTTTCTTGAAATTTTTGAGATAGAGCTTTGATATCAGATGAGCAACCATGATGATGCAGGTGCTACTAACCAGTTCTTGACATGCTTCTAAAGTTGCTGGTGATTTTTTTTCCAACTAGAAGAGAGAAATTATACATTTTGAACAGAGTTGTCCTCTGTCTTGAATTTCATAAATCAAAATATAAGCACCAAAAAAATTATATGCTGGTGCTATTTTGTTATGAAAAACGTAGGTTCCCTTTGTTTTTTACCACATTGTAAGATACTAAACTTATGAAAATCATAAAATGGAGGACAGTGAGACAAAGATACTTGAAGTGTTTGAAATATATTGTATTGAAACATACAAACATATTTGACATTTATTTGTCTTATTTTTGTCTTATTTTTGCTTTCATCTTGTTACTCTCTGGTTCCTGATTCTGTCTTGTGCCTTCTCCCGCAAAAACCCGCCTTAGACCTGTGTTGCGTGGTGGGTCTGCTGCCGCCACCTCTAACCCTCATCATGACAACGCCAGGTAAACTTTGAGACTTTGTAATTACCAGGGTAGAGAGTTGACTGAACGTGTAGTTTGCAGGACGTAATGCATGTAGCAGCCACGCCTTTTATATTATAGCTTGAATCTCTACAGCTTTTCTCTGAGTACATCCTGTTTTTCTCTGAGAACAGTGAGTCTAACCATTCATGACATTTGGCCAAAAGAGTATAAAGAAAAATAGTTATGATACATTATCATGGGAACATCAGAGACAGGGTATTTAAACATGGTTTTAATAGCTTATTGGCGATCATACTAAAACACAGAAAAAAATAATCTTAAACCTTGTTTTATGTGCATCATTTTAATTGTTGCCTGAGGCTCTGTCCAGCATTTCCTTTTTAGTTGTTAATTGTCTGTAATGTCACTTTCAGTGTGTAGATAAATGTGTCTGTAAAGCATCATCTTAAATTGGGGGAAATCAGCATTGGTAACCTGAGAAGTTAAATGTTTAGAAAGAGAATTTAGTTTTAAGAATTTTTGTCGTCCGTTGATTAAGCTTTTCTCTCTTATTTTTGTCCCTTTCACACTTTCAGATATGCTTAGCCTGAGTAGTTATTTCTTCCTGTCACGCAGAAGGACAGATAGAATGGCACATACGAATACTTTAAGGTTCTCAGGTGCCAAAATCTCATTTCCCAACTTCTTGGGTAAAAAAAAAAAAAAAAAAAAATTGGTTAGTATTTACAGATCTCATTTCTGTAATATTTTCAGAGCCAATTTTATTTATTTTAAGCAGAAATGGATTATCTGTAGCAGTAGATTTAAAACTGTCAGCAGGGGCTTCCCTGGTGGCGCAGTGGTTGAGTGTCCGCCTGCAGATGCAGGGGACACGGCTTCGTGCCCTGGTCCGGGAAGATCCCACATGCCGCAGAGCGGCTGGGCCCGTGAGCCATGGCCACTGAGCCTGCGCGTCCGGAGCCTGTGCTCCGCAACGGGAGAGGCCACAACAGTGAGAGGCCCACGTACCACAAAAGAAAAAAACAAACCAAAAAAACTGGCAGCATTATTTCTATGATGAGAGGAAGCAAGCTGGCACGTTCATTTTTAGGCAAGAAAAGAGGGAAATACTGGTTTCTCATTAATACTGAATTCAGGTTAGAAAATTGAAAAGTGTGTCCTTAGGGGTCCCTTTCCACTCTGCTGACTTGTTTCTTTTTACAGTATTAACTCAGTCCGTTTTAAGTTTTTCCTTGTGTATTTCTCGTAAGTTTGTGATCCTTTTATTTTTCTGTGAAAGTATTTTCAGGCAGTGATCTGACTTAGATTTCTTACAGAGTTTTTAGCTCTGATCAATACAGGTTTTAGTTTTAAGTCAAATTACACAAGTAAAGTCTTTTGTCATATCCTTAGATTTCTTAGCAAATGAAGATTTCCTTTACAGATATTTAAAACCTTAGTTCAGGATCTAAATTGTGGGGAGTCCCTTTCAGTTATACTTCATTCTCTCTCTTCAGTCTGGGTCCCTTTACCTTTGAAGCAATTGCTTCTATTGTTGTTGTTTTTTTCCCAATTATTTATCTCATGTATGACCTCACAGAAATAGAAGAGTTTTATTTTGAGGATAAAGTGTAGAGAAGAGGAATCTTCAACCCTTATGTTTTCCACTAATTGTTTAAGAATTCTGCTTAATGTTCAAAGGAATAATTAACTCAGATGTTTGTAAAGCCATAGTTCTTAGCACCTACTAACTTAGTAGCTAACTTCTCCATCTGATGCCGTTACTCTTGGTATTCCAGTATATTTGCTGTGTTCCCATGAAGGAAGGGGCAGATTAGGAGAAAGCAAGTTAATTTAGCCCTAAAAAGAACATTTAGAGATTGTTCTAGATTATCTAAAGTCAGTACATACCATCTATCATTGAAACTGCAACCTATGTAATTAAAATCAGCATTCAGAATGATGACACTGCAGGATTATACAATTAAAAATTGTTTTATGTTATTTATTAAAATATTTTTGAATTATTTTCAGTGGCATTTGTAACAAAAGGATTTTCTGAATAGACTTGTCTTTAACGTGTCTGGAGGAAAAATATAATTCTGTTCATACACGTTTGTGTGGTAATATGCTTTTTGTAATAGGGACTTGCTTGAAATATTAAAAATATCAATATTACGCTCTATGTGCCAACCTGTAGATTACATAGGAGTAACTTTTAAATTCAGTTTATTTATAATCCACTCATTTGGAAAAGTTAATGTGCCATTTTACTGAAATAACCATACAGCATTCAAATAGTAAGGATATAAATATACGAGGTGAATTATATGGTATGTGAATTGTATCTTAATTAAAATATATTTTAAAAGTGGAAATCTGGGCAAAGAGGAATAATAGCATTTGTGTGCATTTGTATCTCAGAAGTTTATTGTCATTCATTTAAAAATCGGTGCGCCTTTAGAAGTAACTGCATTTGAACAGGAAATACTTTTTAATGTTTCTCTAAGGTTTGTCTTAGTGGCTTTCCAGTATTATTTTATACACCGCTTCTTAATTATAGTATTTAAATTCTGGATCTGAATGTAGTGACAGGATGTATTCAGGTGATTTTATAATTGCTTCTATGGAGACACAGTAGATAATAAGTAAAAGGAAATAAGAAGTGAAGAGTGGAAATGGCAAGAGAAGAGGCACTGAGAAGAGTAGGAGAAATAAAACATGATCAGAGTCTTCCTTTTTCAGCTGGAGTTTGTTTACTTTGTGTTCCCTGCCATGAGTCTCAGCAGGGACTTCTGAGGAACCACATACAGACATCAGATGGTGGGAGAATTGTATTTCGTTATATGCTAGCACAGCAGCTCTCAAATCTTTTCAGCCAGGTATCCTTTTTAACACTGCCCATCCCTCTGAGTTGAAAAGTGTCTCCTTATTTATATCTTTAGTCAGGGTTTCTTCTCTTTCTCAAACTTTCAGGACACCTTCCTAGTATTGTAGGTAGTTTTTACGCTAAGCTCTTTCCTTTCCTTTGTCAGTACCCGTTCAGATTGGTAACTATTTTAGTAATTTGTACTGTTAAATACCAGTCTTTTTAACAGTTCTCTGAGCATTACACAATATATTACATGATTTGACTTGGCAGGTACTTTTAGTTCTATTCTAATATTAAATCATATTTTTATTTCTTATCTGCTAGGTATGGCATTTCACATATAGATACAACGATTGAAGGAACCTCAGATGACATGACTGTTGTAGATGCAGCTTCATTAAGACGACAGGTATTTAATGTACCAAATATCATATAATCCTAAATTATATTCATATAATATTTAAAGTGGTAGTTCCTAACATTTTATCATTTTCTGTCCAGTGGAACCCATGGATTAAAATATTTTATCTATCAAACTATTTATTAAGCCATAATTGACTTTCCCATTTTGATTAAAGACATATTAAACCACTATTTACATGTTTTGATCAGCATAAAGCAGTATTACCAAAATGGATTGATGTAATTCTAGCCAATAACAAAGAATCATAACATTTTAAGCAAACCAGTGCATCCATAAATTGCTCTGAAGCTGAGATGACCCTTCACAGTTGGAGCAGGCGGCCTGGGCCTTTTAACCCCATCACAGACCAGTCGGTGGATTCATGCTGCCTTCATAAGGGAGCATGAACTTGGGCAAGACAGTTGTTCAGCCCAGAGCTATTCACAGTAGGGACCAACAGCCGAGGACAGTGCTGTCAACCAGTGACACTCCTAACAGGTAGAGAATTAGCCTTTTAGTCCTGCAGGGTGGCAGGTGACAGGGCCCACTATAGTAGGTTAATTATTGGGATCCTTGTAGTAACTCAGAGAAGGCATAAAACAGTTAAAGCAGGTTAAAGGTGAAAAACTGAAGCTGAGTGACAGAAGCTCATAAGAGAAGAGAATTTAAGTGAATTTAAGCTGTCGTGGGTAACATTTTTTCTATATATAGCTTTCTTTATTTTGCTCCAAATGAAACTCTTCATGTTTGTAATTATTCTTTTTACAAATTAAACTACTTTGTAAGAGTCTGATTGCGTCATGCATTAAAGCTTCTATTCATTTTTTGATGTTGTTTTTTACTTAGATAATCAAACTAAATAGACGTCTACAACTTCTGGAAGAGGAGAACAAAGAACGTGCTAAAAGAGAAATGGTCATGTATTCAATTACTGTAGCATTCTGGCTGCTTAATAGCTGGCTCTGGTTTCGCCGCTAGAGGTAACCTCAACTCTCAAACATATTGTCTCAACAGCTGGAAATATAAAGAATTTGCAAACTTCTTTATTTCTGTCTTTGCATTGTATGCCGTTTTACAGTCCCCACCCTGAAAATGTATTTCTCCCAGAAAGGATGGGGGAAAGACTTATATTTGCAGAAGTAAAGGTATGTCCTGTCACTCGACTGTATTTAGTTTTCACCAGTTCTGCCTGGTTTAACACCTACTTAAAATTCTCCCTTTGCATGTGTTTTGTAAATAGGACCTAGTTTGTTTGTTTTGTTTTGTTTTTGCCTCATCAACCTGCACAGCTAATTCTATGAATGGGAGAGAAAAAAGTGTACAGAAAATGGATTTAGAGAAGTGTCTGTAAAGGAAAAATAATACTTTATATTGTCCTGTTTCTGTCCTGTCCTGTTTCTCAAACACTGTTAGATTAAACAGTTTAGTTAATAGACATTTTTGCATCCACATTTCAACATTAACACTACTGAAGTCATGGTCTGGTGTCAGATTTAATAAACTCAAGTCACCTCATGTTTCAGGATCACCTTCAATAAAATAATTCCTAAGATTTTCAGCAGTTTAAGATGAGGGCAAAATGTGCATTTTTATTTTTATTTTAGTTTTGCAGATGGTTTTCTATAAAGTACATTTTTACTAAGTCCGTGTGTGAATGATTTAAAAAACTACAGAATAAGGTACAAATGTAGTGTATTTAATAAACTGTCAACCAAAGCTATATTTGTGTATCAAAAGATTTTATTTCATCATATTGTGCTGTGAGCTATATTCCGTATTATGTTTCTTTATATGCACCTAAGTTTTCCCGGCTCTGGAGCAAGTAAAGCAATTAATGACTTGGCAGGTAGTAAGAACCCACTTGCTTCCTTTCAGATCTTCGCCCTGGTAGTGGTAGGCACTGGTTTTGTTACAGCTGTTTTTGTAATTTGTAGTGTCTATAAAGTGGTTCAGATACCTTCAGCTGGGCTTCCCTGGTGGCGCAGTGGTTGGGAGTCCGCCTGCCGATGCAGGGGACATGGGTTCATGCCCCGGTCCGGGAAGATCCCACGTGCCGCGGAGCGGCTAGGCCCATGAGCCATGGCCGCTGAGCCTGCGCGTCCGGAGCCTGTGCTCCGCAACGGGAGAGGCCACAACAGTGAGAGGCCCGCGTACCGCAAAAAAAAAAAAAAAAACCCTTCAGTTGTGTTGCTTTTTCCATTGTATTTAGCTGATATACTAAATCTGATGAGATTAAATGCATCACTGAAACCAAGTGCTGGGAACCTTTAGTTCCCAAACTTTTTTTTCCTTTTTTTGTTTCAGAAATGGATAGAATTTTACTTAGGTGCAGTATTCTCCATATATCTTCAGTATCTTTCTACCAAGGCAGTGAGTTTTGAGAAAGGCAATTAGGGGAAATTCCTTAGATGTAGGTATATTGAACTGTTCTGTTCTTGCTTCTCTCCTGTCCTTCCGAAAAAAAAAATACTTGGAGGAAGGATTCTTTTCTTTAATTCCTAGGGTTTATCCTGAGTTTGGTGAAAATTTTTTTTACCCATGAAAGTCTTCTGACTTTTATAATATCCTAATGATGTCATTAATTATATTAATTCTATCTTTATATGTATATCTCAAGGTAATTTCTGTGAATAATTGAAACAACAAAAATGATTTAAAAAACAATGGATAAGGGCTTCCCTGGTGGCTCAGTGGTTGAGAATCCGCCTGCCAGTGCAGGGGACACGGGTACAAGCCCTGGTCCGGGAAGATCCCACATGCTGTGGAGTAACTAAGCCCGTGTGCCACCACTACTGAGCCTGCGCTCTAGAGCCCGCGAGCCACAACTACTGAGCCCGTAAGCCACAACTACTGATACCCGCCTGCCTAGAGCCCGTGTTTTGCAACAAGAGAAGCCACTGCAATGAGAAGCCCGCACACCACAACGAGGAGGGGCCCCCGCTCGCCGCAACTAGAGAAAGCCTGCACGCAGCAATGAAGACCCAACGCAGCCAAAAATAAATAAATTAAATTAAATTAAAAATAATAGTGGATAAAGTTAACACCTCTTTTGTTGGGCAGGCGTGAAAAGGATTGATTCCATAAAAGTCAAAAATGAACATGAGCAGGAACTCCAGGAGATAAGCACAAAAGCTATTTTTCTCCCTATTGACTTTTACCAAACTGGAGACCTAGAACTTTCTCTCTTAATGGCTGTACGGGGGTAGGAGATATAATTACATGTCTTCTTAGGCAGGCATTAGCTATAACAGGAGACTCCTGCATGAAACTCAAACCCCAAAAAACTACACCCTCAGTGAAAGGGTAAATGAGAAATCAACTTAGCAGCCAAAAGGGGACAACAAAGAAACATGTCTTCACCTTGTCACAGATCTAAAAACAAAAGAGCTTGCGTCTCTCTTAACTCCAAAACCAAGTCCAGCTATGCCAGCCTCCCTTCCCTAGAAGTCATTTTTCATCATTGTAAGAAAGTGGTTTGGGAGTTGAGAGGAACAGATTCACTCCTGGTCAGGATGGTCAGGAAATACTTCTTAGATATTTGAGCTGAACCTTGAAATAAATAAATATATGATTTCAACAAGCAGAGAATGAAGAAAAGATTCCAGATGCAGGGAACAGTGGAAGAAAAGGATACAGTCAGGGCCAGTAACAGAGTAATCAACCTACCATACTCACTAGTGCCCTACAACTAAGTAGCAAGTACAAGTGTAGCAAGTACATTGTGCCACTACTTTCGGAGCTCTGTTTAAAGGTTGGGTGTTTTTCACTTCTAGGAATACTTGTTGAAGCATTTGCTGGTTATCGACACTCTGAGGGATAATTTTATGAAAATATATTTGCAAGAGAGCTTTCCTTCTTTTCCTGCATGAATGTCTGTTATCCAGCTTCTTGATCATATTTGACACTGAAATTGAACTTCTTCTGGCCTCAAGTTTGGAAAAATGTAACTACCGTAACTTGTTCTTTTACTTACAATGTATTATCGTGTCAGTAAGTAGAGAGTCGTGTGTGCACAGCACTGACCTCAGTAGTAAGCGGTTATAGCAGATGTACCACAAGCCCTGCTCTTAAGGAATTGACAGGTTAATGGAGGAGGAGGGAAATAAGGCTTATTAAAGAAGTAGAGGATTATAAAAATAATTTTTTGAAGTAGAAGGAATTTGAGATATATGCCCAAGAACAGGGAGAGAGTGTTTCAGATGGTGGATGCAGTAAAAAAATAAAAGTATAAAGATTCCAAAGTGAGATTGAACATGGGAATGGAAGTGAGAAATAAAAAACAATGAGCTTTGTAGCTGACTAGGTGCATGTTGTATGTGTGTGGGGGGGGGGGGCGTGTATAGATGTGCATTTGTAAGTTTAGGTTCCAGGGTGGAGATGGCATGTCCCCAAAAGCCACCTCACCACAAGTGGCCTGTCGGCTTTAGGCATTTAATCAAGGCTGCAGTTTCCACAGGACCAAAATTGCAAAGAACTAACTTGCCAGCTATTTCAGCTGACTGCGCTACTGCCAACCATCCTTTCTTTTGCCCTCTGAAATGAGAGGCTCACGTCTCTGTTCATGACCCTGTAGAAAACTGGGGTCATCTCTCACCCATTTCCAGGCTAATGAAGATTATATGCACTGTCATTGACTTGTTCAGTCAAATACAGTGAGCTGTCGTGTTTATTTTACTTGTGTTTTAATTTTGTGGCTCTTGGCAGTTTGACATTCATTTAGTAAGTGTTGAGTCTTGGCTAAAACCTGAGTACTAAAGATAGGATTAATTCATTCAACAAAATATTCGTAGTGGCCCTACTTTGTATCGGGCACGGTACTTGGTACTGACTCTCCTGGGAGTGAATAAAAGAAAAATATCCCTGTACCCATGCAGCTTATGCTCTTATGGGGGAGAGTGAAATTTAAGAAACAAGTACACATTAAAATGCTATTGCCATTGTGATCAGTACTGTAAGTCAGCAGTCCCCAACCTTTTTGGCACCAGGGACCGGTTTCGTGGAAGACGTTTTTTCCACGGGGTAGTGGGGGATTGTTCAGGTGGAAATGAGAGCGGCGGGGAGCGGCGGATGCTGAAGCTCCGCTCGCGCACCCACTGCCCTCCTTCTGTGTGGCCCGGGTCCTAACAGGCCGAGGACCGCTACCGGTCCACAGCCCAGGGGTTGGGGACCCCTGCTGTAAATGAAAGAACGCTAAAGGAGAGAGTAAAGGGAAGCCTGCCTTCCATTAGGCTGTTAGGGAAAGCCTCTCAGAAAAAGTGATACTTGTGCTGAAGTCTGAAAGATGAAGAGGATTTAGCCAGAGCTTAGACAGGTGGGAGTGGGAGGTGGGAGCTGGGCAGAGAAGAGGCCTTGCTGAGGACCTGAAGAAGGAAAGAGCTAATGAATAAATGGATGAGAAGGACATGGTCCCTGTTCTCTTAAATTGTCTTAAAGTGATGGATTTATAAACAAAAATATTTACATTACGTTGTGACAGGTATGATAATCGTGGTTTGGGTAAGTGCTAACTTAGTTTGTTGAAATCATGCACTCTGGGAAGGCTTTCTCAAGTAGTAGATTTTTAAGCTAGACCATAAGGATAAATAGGTATTTATAGGAGTATAGGAAGATGGTCTTTATACAGTAAATGGGTTCAGAATAAAATGCCTATAAGTTCTTGATGTTACTGATTGGGGGGAGGGGGACAGCTATATAATATATGTATTGTAAATTATTTCTAAAATCTTAAGCCCAGTGAATATAAATAATTGAAATAAAAAGCAGGAATGATCATATTCAGAAAATTGTAGATTTTGAGTTTTGTCTATTTTATAACGTTTTAATATGGTAAATACGCTGTTTCGTTATCCTGTCTTAAAGTTTGGCATATATATAAGCCAGATTTCGAAAGACTGATTTTTTTTTTCCTAGGTATTTATTGTTTTTTAATTATTGCGAAAAATGCGAACATAGGAAAATTGAAGAGTGTAATGAATTGCCATATGCCTATCACCTAAATGTAACATTTTTCAGTTGCTTCATTTTTTAACTGAAACGTCTTAAAAACATGACATTTTCCCCCAAACACATAAATATGCATTTCTGAAAAATAAGGACATTTTCCTACATAACCATAAAACCATCATCAGGCATAAATAAACTAACAGTAAGCCCTTAATATTACCTAAACCAGTCCTTGTGCAGGTTCCCCCAGTTATCCCCAACGAGGTTCACGTAATCTGTTTGGTTGAATCATGTCTGTCTCTTTGCTCTCTTCACCTAGAATAGTTCCCTCCACCCATCCAACCTCTTGTTTTTCTTATACTACATTTTCTTGTTGAAAGCAGGGGACTATTGTCTGTTTACTGTCCCACCTTTTGAATTTGTCTGAATAATGTCCTCTTTCCCTGGATTTTCTGTAAGCTGAATTAGGTCTAAAAACTTGATTGTATTTAGATTACTCTTCACACTTGAATAACTCAGGGGTTAGGGGCGCCAGCTTTCCACGCAGTCAGAAATCCACATGTAACTTTTGGTTGGGCCTCCATATGCTCGGTTTCTCTGTATCCAGGACTCTGCACCCACAGATTCAACCAACTGCAGATCATGTAGTACTCTAGTATTTATTTACTCTTGGAAGAAATCTGCATTATAAGTGGACCTGCACAGTTCAAACCCGTGTTGTTCAAGGGTCAACTGTATATATTTAACTTTTTTGAAGTATAAAGAAATGCAATAAAAAGGTCCCATACTTTGGCTTCCAGTATAACTGCTGTTCCTGCTTACCCTCCTCCCTCCCTCCCTTCCTTTCTCCACATACGAGAACATAGTTAGAAAATCCGAATAGTACAGAAAGACACAAAACAAATTGACAGCTTCTCTCCACTTTTCCCCAAAGTCAACCACTGATGATATTTTTCTTTCCATATGAAAATGTGCATTTACCAACATGCTTCAGTGTGGCAGCTTGACTTGTTTTTTAAGTACATCAAAGGTGACTTTAAAAACAACCTTTGGATTAAACTGACTCATCCACAGCTTTCTAGATAATGTTCCATTATTGAATTTCTAAAAGCATGTCTTTTAAATGTCATTCTAAAATGGTTCAAACTAGTATTTCCGTTTTATTATTATTAAACTACACAATTCGGTTTCTTCGCTTAGAGACTCCTCCACACAGACAGCCAAGGAAGCCGATGAGTATCTGACTGAGCCCAAACAGGGTCTCAAGAATGCCCACAAGCAGTAGACCTAAAAATACTGAGAAATGGATAATCCTATGATTGTTTTCTATAGAATTGAAGTGTAAGCTGTATGTTCTCCAGTTACTGGCTGTTGTGTTGTTGATGGAGGGATTATTGAAATCCATAGGAGAAACACAAGAGTCGTCAAAGAACCACTGCAGATCGAAGGATTCTGGATGAATGGCACTGAACAAAATGAAAGAAATGATAAAGATAAGATATTCAGGAATACCACTGACCATCTAAAGAATGCAGCATTGTGCCTAGAAAAGGACATGTATAGTAAAACAGAAAGTGCTTTTGAAACATCGTGCCCAGAAACTATAGCTAAGATGAGGGTTTCTGAGCATGTGCCGTTGTACTCTTAACAGTTGTAAAACGTTGACATCATATATCCCATCACTCAACAAGCATCTACTCTTAGGTTGAACTGTATGAAATTTTCTATGTCAGAAAGTGTTGAATATTAAGTTTCCTGTGGTCGCACCTATTCATGCAGGCGCTCTTCTACTGGCTAAAGAAACTAAAACGAGCTTCCCCGTTCAAGGAGCTCAGTTCTTAGTGCAAAACTGCTGTGTTGCGTCTGTTCTTAAACCCGATGTACAATGTTTACTCACAAAAGGCATTTCAAATATGTCTGGTTAAAACCTTGTTGTAACAAGGTATGGAGAATGAGAAACTTTTAGCCCTAACACATCTGTCCTGACATGATTTATCTTTGGTTTTCTACAGTAGGACTAAGTGTTCTTAGAGAGTTTGCATTTCTGGATACCAGCAACTGATGCGCAGCCTGGGAAGAACAACAGCATGTCAGCACATGGAATATGAGTATGCTCATTGCAGTTTGCAGCGAGCGTAGGGTCACTCTTCTGTAATTGTTTACCCTCCGTAACTGTCTGTCTCCCCAACTAGAGTGGGAATACCTTGATGCTGTGACCTCCAGCTTGGCCTGGCGCCTGGTACATGGTGAGTAGCCATGAGCTGAGGACTGAATGTGTATAGCATGTGTGGTTGAAATCTCTAATTTTCTACTCCAGCTCTACTAGTAAAGGGAGTTTCTTTGGATTTTGATCCACAACAGCTGTGGTATGCAAATTTTGAGAGATTTTTCTTTTTTAATGCAGCGAGATAAGGAAAAAGGGAAAAAAAATTTTTCATGTAACTACAAAAGTGAATTCTAGTTATTTTCCATACTGAATAATATGTAGGTAACGAATGAATTAGGTTGTTCTTTTCTTCCAGTTTTACAAATTGTGCCTAGATTCAGGCACAGAACCATCTTACAAGACTGAAATGAGCCATTTCCATGTAACTCTTCAGCATTATTTGTTACTCTGTGAGTTAAACTTTTGATTCATTGTCATGCTGACTGTGTTTCTATTATGTTTGCATGATTCCATTGGCTGCTGCTTTGTTTCTTTCTTAAGGCTTATAGGTTAAGCCTCTAGATTTTTTTTTTACTTATTGTGTTTTTATTCAGTTTATCAAATTATAAAGGTAATGTATGCTTAGGGCTTACAATTTTTTTAAATATTTATTTATTTATTTTGGCTGTGCCAGGTCTTAGCTGCGGTGCACAGGATCTTTGTTGTGGCACGCGGGATCTTTAGTTGCGGCATGCAGACTTCTTAGTTGGGACATGCATGAGGGAACTAGTTCCCCGACCAGGGATCAAACCCGGGCCCCCAGCTTTGGGAGCGCAGAGTCTTACCCACTGGACCACCAGGGAAGTCCCAGGGTTTACAGATTAAATTAGATCAGAAGTGGAGAAAGTCAGTGCTCCCTTCCTTCCCCCAGGGCATCCTCCATTACCATTCTCCAAAGATGAAAGTTAAGTTTTTGGTGTATATTTCCAGAAATTTTTAATATACATGCACATATGCAGCTATAGATTTTTAAAAGACAAGGATAATCCATCTAAGTCAACTACCCCTTTTAGACAAGACCATACCCAAAGCATTCTGAATGCAGTGATTCCTCCATTTCTCTGCGCTGGGGCCAATTGGGATTAATGTGCTAAATACCTAAGAATCTGTCCCACGCCGGATAACGTGGCGCTGGGGCAGCACCACATTACCCTCACCTAACTAGCTACAGCTGTGTGAGACGGCAAACGGTTACTCACGTTACGTTTGTCAATGAAAATTCACAACTGGAAGTTCTGTTGCCTTGAGAGTTACAAATGAGGGGGCCCTCCGCGAGAGCCTGGATGGACACCGTCAGGCAGTATGCAGCTCCAGTGACCATGATCACATTCAGAAGTGATGAAAGAAACATCAAAATAAAGTAGGCACATTTGCACACGTTACATGTTGCCTGTCTGTTCCCAGTTTCAGCAGCACATGCAGTCTTTATCGTCAGCTGCCGCCATTCTGCTGACACCTTACAGTCCTAGATCTTCAGATCACCGTTTGATTAGGTGTGACTTACACACGAAGGCAGAGGGCAGAGTGCCTGCCATTTCATTAGACTTGCTAAAAGGTCATTGGTCTTGCCACTGTTTCTGAAAAACCTGAACTCTTATGCTCTACGTGAACCTTGTCCATTTCAACGGACCACTACAGTGTGTCAGGAACAAAGATAGACTGTAAAGAACTAGCAAAGTAACTATAATCCTATATGAATACCAAATGTCAGGGAAAGGTAATTTAAAAAATAAATAAACCGAACTCATGGCTATAAATATGTACCCTTTTAAACAGTGGCTCTCACCCCTGGGAGCACATGAGAATCACACAAGGTGCTTTTGAAAGATACTAATGCAGAATCTCAGGGGGGCCACCAGGCATTGGTATGTTTAAGATTTTCCCCAGGTGATTCTAATGTTCCCATCAGGCTGAGAACCATTGCTTTAAAACCTCAAGCTCAGTCAGGAATATTTACTGTGATTTCTTATTTATTGATCTACCTGCTTCCTTAAAGAATTATGAGAGCCCTCAGTGTTACTTCGTAACAATGTTCATGGCATAAATAGTATGATGACTGGGAATTTGGGAGTCTGATGGATTTGGATACAAACCTACCTAGTAACTGTGCTACACTGGCAGGTTATATGCTTTCTCTGAGGATCAATTTCTCAGTAAAACAGATCATAAAATGTATGGGTTTTCAGAAGAATAAGATAGCGTATTTGAAAATGTTCTGAGTATAGTGAGAGAAGGTTAATAAATATTAATTTCCTTTACTTTTAACATAGTTACAATTTTATACATACCAAATGTTTGAAAAAATAAGTGTTGTCTCCTTTAACTTAACTGGATAAGGACAATTAACATTCTGCTCCTAGTAAACCAGTCTTTCACATGCATAAGAGAACTGACGATACTTTTTCCCTAAGTATTTTATACACACCACAAAAGTAACAAGTATTTGAGTATCATCAGATTGATTACAGCCCTGAGTGCAGACATAAATCTCCTTTCTTTGAAAACTTTTAGACTGAAACCGAAGATTGAGGAGAGGTCTGAAAGCTCGCTCCAAAACCAAATTTTTATGGGAAAACAAAAAGACAAACTTCACACTTTCAGCATTATCATATAAATTATTCTAAATAACATGTTTCTAGGACCAGCCCTGCCACTGGAGCCACACGGTGATTCAGGAGATGCTGACGCCTCGGCGGCTTTGCTGAGATGCCGGTAACTGCTTATGCACCAGACCAGCTGTGCTGTGCTCACCCCGGTTTTGTTATTGCAGCATGCTCTTTTCCTCGCTGCTAAGGACATCGTTGTTGCTGGAATGACCTGGAAATTACATCAACAGGAACAAAGAATATTATTACTTCTCATCAGATGATAAAGCAATAATCTTCACTTTCTACTTGCCCGCAGTTGTGGGAAGCCAAGAGGCTTAAGAGAATAAAAAGGACATGTGACAATGTCCTTGATCTTGTGACCCTTAACGATCCCCATTTGGACCATAAAGATTAAAAAGGGGGAAAGGATGGGGGATTTCAGTATAGCAATTTAAAACTTCCGTCTACATTTTTACTTTGAGTCATCATTAGAGAGACTTGGATTTCAAATTATTTATTCATTCTTTTGGAGGAATGTTTCTGAAGGAATGGTTGCATCATCCAAAATTCACTTTTTTTTTTTTTTTTTTTTTTACTATAATCTGCAACCACTTACCCAATTTCCCCAAAATAGTGTGAATTAATCTGGCAAGGATTCAGAAAGGAACTTGATGGTTTTGTCTGCCTGGTAGTTAGGAACTAAGAATTCTGTCACTACCCTTCTCCCACTTCCCTAACTTTCCTCTCACTCCCAGGGTCACCACCAGCTCAGTAGTTCCCCAAACTTATGATTTGAGAATTACTTTTAGTTCTACATTCTCCTTTCTACTCCTGTATCCATGGTATGGAATGATCTCACTTCACACTGATGTTTAGAAATCTTGTATTACATTCTGTGTCAAGGGAACACACATTGCTGGGGAAAGCTGTAAGAAATGATGCCATGTTCACAGGACTTAGGTTAAAGTTTCTAATAACTAGTCAGCAGCTATAACTAGGAATTCTTCATGAAAGAAGTTTTGTATTATTGGAGGGTTAAATGTCGATTACTTCCTTACACTTAAGATATTTTAGCCATAAGTTTTTTGCCATCTCAGCACAGCTGCCCTTGAGTAGTTCTTCTCTCTCCTTCCACTCTTGTTTTCTAACATTTTACTGAGTCCTAACAACATACCAGGCACTGTTATAGGTGCTATACGTGTTTTAGTTCATTCACAGCCTTGTAAAAATCCTATGAGGTAGGGCTTCCCTGGTGGCGCAGTGGTTGAGAGTCCGCCTGCCGATGCAGGGGACACGGGTTCGTGCCCCGGTCCGGGAAGATCCCACGTGCCGCGGAGCGGCTGGGCCCGTGAGCCATGGCCGCTGAGCCTGCGTGTCCGGAGCCTGTGCTCCGCAACGGGAGAGGCCACGGCAGTGAGAGGCCCGCGTACCCCCAAAAAAAATCCTATGAGGTAGGTGCCAATTATCCCCATTTTACTGGGTCGGAAAACTGAGGCACAGAAAGCTTGAGTAACTTGTCTAAGGAAGTGGAAGAGTTGGGAGTCACAGCTGGGCATTAGGGTTCCAGAGCCCAGACTCAACCACTATTCCAGTCACACTGGCCGATTGTAGCAATTCTCTGTTCCTCCTTAGAGCTTGCACATCCTCATCTTCCCCACCACCATCACCCCCTCACTCATCTCATTGTCCTCCTCCTAATTGCTCCTTCCCCAATCCATTTTTTCAAGACCATGTCCACCTTTGTCCTTTCAGAGCAGGTCTCGGATTGAACAGCCTTACAAGGCAGCTTTCCTGACAAACTTCACCCCACTCTGACCATGTGCTGACTCCGTGTCACGTATGGAAAACACTGTATTGTTATCAAGCTTTGCTTGCATACTGCCTTGAACACCAACACTCTTATAATTCAAAGGGCACGTGTATGTATGGCAGCCTAGCCATTCAAGGCATAGCTGAGAGCCCAGAAGAAAAGGGAAAAGAAATGTATGTACCCAAATAGGTGTCAGTGTTCATGGGCTAAATTTCTTTTGTTGTACTTAGAAGTGATACTGCCTTCTGAGCTTAAGGAACAAATCATTTAGAACAGGAACTGGCAAACTGGCCCACTGCCTCTTTTTTATAAACTTTTATGAAAACAGACATGCCCATTCGCTTACTTATTATCCACGCTGCTTTGGCGCACCAGCAGTAGAGTTGAATTATTGTGAGAGAGACTGGCTCACAGAGGCTAAAATATTCACTACCTGGCTTTTCGCAGAAAAAAACGTGTTAACCCCTGATTTAGAAAATTAATCTGTTAAAAGAAAGAGCAACATTAAATTATAATTAAAATGGATAAATCATTCCATTTTCCTTATTGATGTAAATTAAACTCTGCTAACTTTCTTGAAGGTTAATTTATTTCAGAGATGCTGAAAGAGATACTTTCATAGTTCCCTTCTCTTGAAAAGGAATTTTATAAAGTAATAATAGCTTATCATGTATGAATCCTCACCTGGTTGACTTCATGGCATGTTGACACATCTTTGTTACATCATTATGGGTAAATTGATAACTATTTCAACCATTTTGCTTATTCAGAGCTTTGGAAATTAGAGGGGCTCTTTATAGGATGAATATTAAAATGTGAAAGTGTGTGTGTGTGTATGTGACTGAATTCTAAGTCTTCCAGATAATCTCCTGCACAAATAAGTAATCTTGAGAATAATCTTTCTCTTCAATTCCTAAGCACATTTGAATGCATGAGTTTTTGTGAAACTTTTTCTTGATAGTCGTTTGTTTTTATAAAGAAAAGAAGTAGCACTGTTTATTTTTCCTTACAGAAACCCATATTTTCATCCAGTTTTAGAAATAAGGCATATGATTTCATAAGTGAAGTACAGAAGAGCTTTAGACCATTACAACTCTAATAGAATTCAAACTTTCAGGGTTCCTCTAAGTACTTGAACATGAAAGTAACAAACAAAACAATGGCTCATTATATAAAATCTATTTTGAAAATTTTTGTTAGACATAATATTTTCTAATGTAACGTTCAACAATTTCTTCTCTGTTAAGATTTTAATAATTGGTGAATTATTACACAATAAGTGAACTCAGTAAATAGGCATGATTAAGATTAGGCTTACAATTAATCTATAAAATAAAATGGCCTTTATTTTTTAGAGGAAACATTTCAAGGAAACATTTCAAGTCGTTTTTTCAGGACTTGGATAAAGAATGTGTATTGATTTTTCCATTTAGCAGATAATAGGTGAAGGTAATTACATAACATTTTTGCTCTTAGTTATGGTTTCAAAGATGATAAGGTTCACCTCTGTTTTGGGTAAATCATAAAACCATAAAATGACTGTATTTTATGAAGTAATCAGTAATGAATTCCATAGTTTTTATTATTGACTACTTCCTGCAAAATTCCCTGTTTTTGAAACAATACTAATTTAAAATGCTACAGATTAGAAAGATTTCAAGAACTATGACAAAAGTGCTTATCACGACAGTGATTTCTTCATTAACTTTTCTGTGTATTTACAAGTATATTGAGAGTTCAATGTTTTGAACTAAGTCGGTATTTTGATAGATGTAAAGGACACAATTCCCTTTGAAAAAAGATATTCTTCCACATTCTATATATAGCCAAGGATCAAGAAAATAACCTTTCTATCACCCACTTATTTGCTTGTGAGCCTAGTCTAGAGTTTGAGGCTCTAGCTATAAAATGTCTATTGAACGTTTCAAAGAGTTGTTTGATACTTTGAAGATATTCCACAATACCGAGTAATAGTAAGAGCCTGGCGTGATACCAGCACATTGTTAATATTTATTAAGGTGATAAAGCAAACTTAATCCTGGAACAAGAAAAGTCCAGGACTTCCCTGGTGGCGCAGTGGT